TACCGCTCACAGGACGAGTATAGTCGGAGTTCACTGCCTTGGAGAGCAGAGCCCTACGCTCGTAGACTCTCTACACTAACATGTGCCTCTTGTGAAGACTATTGTTATTGTTGACTCTCGTAAATGTCAAACGTGAACAAATCCGCTCTCAAAGTGGTACAAGGACTTCAACTTGCTGTAAAATATTCGACATTTCTATTTAAGCAATTACCTCAAACTGCAGAGTGTACACATATGGAGTCAGTAGCCAGGTGGTTGATGTATGGGGGTGGCGGCGGTGGGTGGCGGGGGTTCTGGAGACTGGTGGTGTGGGGCGGCTTGTGGCGGCGGCAGCGGCGGGTGGCGGCAACTAAGCTAAGTGATGGGACCAAATTAGCCGTCATCGGGTAGAGTGGCGGAGGAAGGAGCCTGCTCTTATCCGAGTCCATCGTCCTAGCCATATCTGATGTGCTTCCAGGCACCACCCTCCGCGGTGACGTTCCACTTGGCGCCTTGTTTTGCTTCATTGTTCCAGCCGTCCTCGCGCCGGAGTCCGAGGCCGCGTCCACGATGGGTCGAGGATAGTCTCGTTATCGTTTGTTTCCCTCCGCCATGTCGACCCCACTTCGGCGCCCGCTGGCCCGATATCAGGATCGGAAGCCCATGTGATATTGGGTCAGATCTCTCAATGCTTTCATAAACCCGTTTTTTACTGTTTCTGTTTACTTTTGTTTTAACTATATTTATATATATAATATACTTTTACTCTTCAGCTATAACTCACTTAAATTTTATTTAGATATTAAGTGTCTTCACTTCTAGGTTTCTGTGTGGAGAAAGAATTGTGCACACTTTTTAAAATAAACTTGTAAAGGTAACTAGAAACATGTGAATGACAGAGATGTCAGAAAGAACTTCTTCAAGGCTAAAGTCGCCAGTAAGTGGAATGAGTTAGACCAGGGGTTATCTTGAGGTTATCTTGAGATGATTTCGGGGCTTTTTAGTGTCCCCGCGGCCCGGTCCTCGACCAGGCCTCCACCCCCAGGAAGCAGCCCGTGACAGCTGACTAACTCCCAGGTACCTATTTACTGCTAGGTAACAGGGGCATTCAGGGTGAAAGAAACTTTGCCCATTTGTTTCTGCCTCGTGCGGGAATCGAACCCGCTCCACAGGGGTTCTTAACTGGGGAAATGGGGACCAAATAGTGGCAGGTTTGGGGACTCACAGTTAAAACAGATGATAACTTGCTTTGATTGGACAAAAACACAGACAGAAATATCACTAGTTGTAGCTACTTTGTGTATTTGTACTTTGCCATTTTTCAGTCTAATATATCTATGACAGAATGTTTTCCTTTGCTTGACTATTTGTTTGTTAGTCTGTCCAAAGTTGGAAGCTAGATACCTAGGGCTAGCCTCACCCAACTTTGCAGGGGGAATGGTCTCGGGTATGTGACGAATACAAGCTGGTCGGGGACTGTCCAAGTGGTCCTATTAAGAGAGGGGTAAATCTCAGTAGTGCCCCCCCCCCCACAAGATCAGTGAAAGAGAGCTGGCCGAGTCCTTAAATTTCTTCATTCGAAAGTGATGAACGTGAGTTCATTATTAATTGGAAATGTGTGTGTGTGTTCTAGTTTGGAGAAGAGATGGGAAAGAGGGGAGAGAAGGGGGGTGGGAAGAGGGGAGTGGGGTTGATGGGGAGTAGGAGAGGGGTGAGGAGAAAGGGAAAATGGGATGGGAGAGGGCGGAGAAAAGATGGGGGGGGGGGGATGGGGAGAGAAGATAGACTATCCTGGGCACTGCCAGGCTCAGTCCTCTGCCACACGACATGAGAAGTTGGAAACTAACATGAAACTGGACCAGCTGATCTTCCCCTCCACCGACCAACCCCACAACAGTTGCCTAACTCCCGGATACCTATTTACACTACTAGACGAACGAACAGAGGCATCAGGTGAAAGGAAGTGGGCTCAAACATTTCCGTCTCGCCCAGGAATCGAACCCGGGATCCCTGATAGTGAGTCGAGAACGTAGCATTTGAACTCCAGTCCCTGTAATCAGAAGAACTACATGAAGCTGGAATATAGCCGACAGAGTGAGTGAGTGAGTGAGTGAGTGAGTGAGTGAGTGAGTGAGTGAGTGAGTGAGTGAGTGAGTGAGTGAGTGAGTGAGAGAGAGAGAGAGAGAGAGAGAGAGAGAGAGAGAGAGAGAGAGAGAGAGAGAGAGAGAGAGAGAGAGAGAGAGAGAGAGAGAGAGAGAGAGAGAGAGAGAGAGAGAGAGAGATAGAGTGAGTGAGAGTGAAAGTGAGTGAGTGAGTGAGTGAGTGAGTGAGTGAGTGAGTGAGTGAGTGTGTGGACAAGCTTGTAAAAGACAAGTAAGTATGACATCTAGAGATAAGGAACTTTTATTTCTTAAGAAGTTTATCTCAATATTATAAAGTGGTGAAGGTGACGTCAGCAGAGGGCCGCGAGCTCCTTCAGGAGAGACATTGCAAGTTTACACCACTCTCCTTGGTAGGAGGCAGAAGGTGGTGCCGTGCCTGTTTGGTAGGAGGCAGAGGGTGTGCCGTGCCTTCTTGGTAGGGAATACTCACATCTTTCTTTGTAATGGAAGACACACCTCCTGGGGGGGGAGCACCTCCGAGGCCACACAACTCATTGACTCACACGCAAACATAACTTATTTGTTTATGTAAAGTGTACCTGTCCTCTCAGTTAGTGAGTGGGGGCAAGGGAAGGAGGAGGAGGAGCCACAGAGACGTTAGAAAGAAGTGTTCAGTGTTAGAGAAGTTAACGAACGGTGTGGGGACTAGTTATGTTGACGCAGTTTACATTTGGTCAGGTCTACATCTGCCGGTGATGTACACCCCGAGAAGTATTCGTACTCGAGTCCAAGCCCAGCTGTACCAACATCTAAGAGTCTGCTGATTGTAGTGCATGAGCCATAGATGCGCGGCTCTCCTTGCATGGTAGTATGATGGTAGGTGGCGTTACTACTGTACATTTCACTTTTCTTCAAACCTACAACATTTTTTTTTTACGTTCTTGGTTATATTATCGCGGTTAATATGTATCAGGGACGGTTGAGGGCCACAGGGCTAACAACACTGCCGACAGGGCATGACAGGACGGATTTAATATAAACCTTCAAAATACTCAACAATTTGGACGATGTCGATCCGGACACTTTCTTTCAAAGGTCAGATGTAACACGACCGAGGAGCAACGGGTTTAAGCTCAACAAGCCACAATGTAGGACAGTAAACAGGTGATGCTTTTTCTCCCATGGGGTTGTAAACCCGTGGAACCGCCTACCCGCCGAAGCTGTAACGCCAAAACTCAGCTGGGTTTTAAAATACAGATAGAAAAGGTCATCCGGGTAAATGTAGAGAGGGGGGGGGGCCATTGACACGCCGCCAAATTCTTGTCCTCGGCGAGGCCAGCTTCATCGTCGAGGACAAAAACCTCGAAAAAAGTACAAAAAAATGTACAACAATTGTACCTTTTACCTGAGGACAAAAAACCCTCAGGTAAATTCAGGTAAATTAAATTAAGTGGGTCGCTGGCGACACAGGACGTCCAGTACAGAGAGATCAAGGCAGACAGTGACTTAAGTGCACTAGGACTAAGGTACAGGCAAGGCAGTTGTTGTTGTTGATTAAGCCACCTCAAGAGGTGGCACGGGCATGAGTAGCCCGTAGGTGGTATAGAGGTTTGGAGTGAAGGTGGTGTTTGATCGTGTAACATTTTCAAGTGTGTCTGGGTCTCTTGAGGCAGGGCTGTAATGCCCACTTATTTATACTGAGAAAAATCCTCATTCACTCTAGTGCATGGAAAAACTGCGAGGTAATTATGGTGTCTATATTTTTATAGTGAGGGGGGGGGGTATTATGGCTATTATCATTATCACTGATTAAATTATAGATTGATGCAGGCAACATAAGGTTCGGATGCTCGGAATCAATTTCATTTATTTTTATATATATATACAAGAAGGTACATTGGGTTTATGGGAGTACATAGCATTGATGTTTTTACATTCTTGTAAAGTCACTAGCAAGCATAGCATTTCAGGCAGGTCTTTAATCTAATAGATAATTTTAAGTAGGTAATTTCTAGCAAAATTGAACGAAAGTGGTACAAAATTCATGTACCACACTAAGATTCGGCGCTGTAATTCATACTAAGATACGGCGCTGAACACTCATAGTGTCTAGAATTTTTCTATATACTAATACAATTAGTAATATCTTTGTGTATATATAATATAAACAAATATATCTTAATTATGTATATTTATATCAACTTTTTAGTGAAGCAGCGCTGGGCATGACAGACGCGCCATATGGCCCTGCTGGGCAGTTCTCTCTGACATGGAAATTGATGCGGTGTTCCCTCACCAAATTGAGAAATATAATCATGATAGTGATCTGCCCTGACCAGCATCTCAGTGTCAGCGACGTGCTCAGGGGATTTCTTAGGGTGAGCAAGTTTGATTGCTCATCTTAAGAAATAGGGTGAGCAATAGAACCAACCCCCCATTTCTCAAAGATGTAGCTTTAGGTAGAGGGGGGAGGGGGGGTCCCAGGTGGGTGGGGGTCCGTGTCTGGGGTCCCTCTTGGGGATCCCTCTTGGGGGTCCCTCTTGGGGGTCCCTATTGGTTGGTCCTTGGGACCATGGGGAGGGGGTGGGGTGTGCATCAGCTGGCTTCTACGTCATTAAATACGGTTCTAGTTACTAATATTTCTTGACGGTAAACAACCGCTAAAATAAAATATATACTTTATTTTTTCGTCAGATGTGGAGGCATGTCTGCGGAAACAGAATGCTACTGACGGCGATTATAATATACCAACTGGAATAATGAGAATATTGACCTGCTATCACCCGTAGTCAACATGGATATAATTGTGTCAACAACACACAATTATAAAGGAGCAAGTATGTGTTGTTGTTGCACGTTTCAAACATTGTACCTTTAAAATTTAAATAGCCCTGGACGAGGTAAAGTTAGGTTTATTTGAGGTGATAATGCATTATTGGGGGGAGTGGAAAAGTTGTTAAGGTGAAGGAGTACACTAGGGTTTACGACCTCTCCCGGGACAGACCAGAGGAGCTGTGGTGGTGAACCTCGGCGCTGTATTTGCCTGAAATATACATATATTCGAGATTACAGGTATTGTCATAAATTTTTGTGTATACGCCATACAATCACATTGGCATAGTGGATCGTTTCAAGTTAATTTACATGAGTAAAGGTGCTAATGTTAACATTTGTATAAAGCCCAGGCAGACTGTGCCTGAACGCTTGATGTTGACTTCACTCGGTGCTGTATACATTTTCTGCACCAATTGATTAATTAACCACTGTATTATATTCTGATGTTTATTTTAAAATGAAATTATTATCAATACAGTATGCACCCTATGATTCCAGGTTCGGCCTCGACACTTGTTGGACATCTGGCCCCCGATTCACTTGGGGGGGCCGATGGAAAGTGTGTCGTGATTTTTGTGCATTTGGTTTTGATACTGCTGAAAGGAAAGTCTTCTTCAACCATTTCCTGAACTAAATTGACACCTGGTGATAGATTACTACCTTCTCTCTGATTTTTGGGTGGAAAATGGGGGCTAGTATTAGCTTGGCCAAGAGCAAGTGAGAGTTGGGAATATCTGATGATGAGTGTTTGCCTGATTTATCAGATTTCAGGCTTCAGATTTTGCCATCATGCAATATAAAGTCACAAGGCTTAGTTTATTTTTACCCTGACTAGGGTGTGATGGGGACAATAACAGCCTGATCAAATCCTTGTAATCTGTATCTGTAATTATACAGTCGGAATCATTTTCGGTGACTCATAACAGTCAAGTTACTCCTTTCCTTTGTCCAGTGTCTTTTGCATCGGTGAGAAAACTCACTCAACATTGGTGGGGGATGTACCTGATATACAGTGGCGCCTCGATTAACGAATTTAATTCGTTCTGGCACCGAGCTCGTCATGTGAAACTTTCATCTTGCAAAACAACAACAACACTGTCGTCAGAGGCGTCCGAGAACCAACGGGAATGCTAGGAAGCACCATGTGGTTTGCTCGTTAATCGAGCGAAAGCTTGTCAATCTAGACAAATTTTCTGCGAGTGGCTCGCTTGTTGCTCAAAATGTTCGTAACTAAGAGTCACTCGTCACTCGAGGTTCCACTTATTGATGTATCATCAGTTATATCAGATCATATCCCTCAAGATTCTCGTTATATAAGCCACAGATTATTTTGGTGGCTAAAAACTGGTGATGTTCTGTTCATCATGCCAGTGGTCAGCTGTATGATTTTTAGATTTGCAGGTACCAAGTAAATTGTAATATTTTAGGAATGCTGTGAAAAAGGGTTGAAAGGAGGTTGGGCATAATAAAATAGGTCATAATATACTAAGATTATTTTGGTAAAATTCCTATACAAATAAGTGATATATCTATGCAATAGAACACCAACGCTTGGATGACCAAGCACCTGATAAGTGCAGTAAATTCAGCCACATGCATATTTTGGGTAATATCTCAGCAAGGGTTGCATCTAAAGATGCAGTTGTGGTTGTTGTAGATAAATGTCACTTTTTCCCATCCATACCATAGATCATTCTGAAAAGTTTTAAATTGTACTGTACTTTTATATTCAGTTTGAAAACAAAATCTTCTCTCAGATGTAGAAATGTAGGCAATTTTGCCTTGAGCACATTCCCTCTCCCAATCACTGCTGTTGTTTTTGGTCAATTGGACATCTTTCATTGGAATCTATTCCCTTGGGATCTGCAGAATATGTATGTGAAGGAGGCAGGCTCTGAGTTTATAGGAAATGTAATTCTGAGTAGGATATGATGCTGCTCCTACTTCCTTCCTGCTCCCGCATCACTAGCTTGTGCTTGGTTGTGATGTTTTGGCTCTAAGCCAGGATGTATGTTGGGGGGTCAGTATTAGATTCGGCAGAGTTAGTACTACTGCCTATTGGTGGCATGGGAACAGTGTATGTTGGCTAGGATTGGTCTATCGGTGATTCATAGCCTGTCATTGGATATCATTCACATATCGAACCTTGGCTTAATAGTACTTTCTACAGGTACAGGTTTCCTAGCACCTTTATATGATCCTGCTAGGATGTCGTCCCTGTGGTGCTGGTATCATGTCTCTTTATCTTCTCTTTCTCTCTCTCTTTTTCTTTTCTCTTTCTTATCTTTCTTCTTTGGCTTCTTTATTATTACGTACAGTATTATTATAATTGTGTTATTGCCGTATTATAGTTATTATTATTATTATAAGTTATAATATAATCAAAATTTTTACAGGTGTTTTTATATAGGAGAGGTCTGGAGGGAGAGACAAGAAATCTTTTTGACTGTACGAAGTACACAAACCATCTTTCTTCATCATGGATGATAAGCATGTAAATGACGCTAGTGCTCACAAGAGAATACTCATCGGCAACCTTCACAGTAGCCTCATGCCTGATTCACCAGCCTCTATCTCTCAAGTTATGACACAGTATACTGCCACAGGACCTACAGGAAGCAATAGCCGGACTTCCTCTTCACAATCATCCTCCTTACAATTATCCTTCTTACAGACATCCTCCTTACAGACATCAGAATTTTGTGAGTTATCAACAAAACTTGATAGAGAAAGCTTGATGAAGGTTAATTCCATGCTTGTGCAACCATCTCGGTACTTAGAGGACGTGCCAATCTTTGGAATTGGTGAAGCTGAGGGTGAAGTGCCACACACTGATCTTCCTGTTGCTAATATTGACTTAACAGCGAGAATGTCAATCCTTGGACTTCCCTCAAATTTAGAGGGGAAAGGTGAAACCAGTTCAGGAATTTTGGCCAGTGTAGTAGATGGAGGCGAGTCAAAGGAAACCAAGATGGATTTATTGAATTCTGCTCCATTTTTAGTGAGTGAAGAGGGTGTGATGTTTCAGTGCTTCCCCATTTCTGAAAAGGAAGTGATTATAGTAAGTTTGAATGATAGTTCTTTGATTATAAATGACTCTGTTGCTGGCCATTTGCCTGCTATATCCGAGTCAAATTCTGGAGGCAGTTCATCCCATTTAAGAATATGTCCTCTTAATAATACCTCCACTGAAAGCAAAGTAGGAGATGCAGAGAAGAAAGTGAATATCTCACTAATACAGCCTATGGATGGAGCCATCTCTGGAACTAGCAGTCAAGATGTCACTTCATCAGTTATTCTCTCCAGTAATGAACATGAAAGCAGTTACAACACACCCGCATATGACATGACTCCATCGTCTGTGTTAATGAAGAACTGTGCATCAGGTCACATAAAACATGTAGGAAATACTGTCATTAACTCACTTCCTCACGTTCCAACGAACATTGTACAATGCAGCAATGTGGCTGTAAACCGTAAAGGGAAATTAAATTGCATGGCAGAGGGTGCTAAAGAAAGCTGCCAGAAAGAAACAGAAATAACTCATGCAACAATATATACACCATTCCTGCGAAAACCACGAAATTTGGCTGCAGATTCAGAAGAGCAGATGTCTTCTGCGGGATTCAAATGCTCCATGTGTTCTGATATTCTTCCGTGTGCTGCCACTCTCAGGCACCATTTAGTTAAGCAACATCAGCAAAAAGACATCAAATCATTCCTGGTAAGGCTCACATTGGATTGTGAATAACATTTAAAAAAAAAAACATTTTTACTTTTAAAAACATCCTTGCTTTGGCATTCAGTGTTACCCATAAACATTTTTCCAAACAGAAAATATGTGGCCACACACTTTGAGTTTTTTTTACTTTCATATCCCCCACTCAATTTACTTATATATAATCCATGCACTGTTAAATCCAGCCCTGGGAGATGTCTTAAAGACACATTCATTAAATACTTGAGAGCTACTTTGCTACACTTCTTTTATGCATTTACGTATACGTACTTGATTATAACTGTACAGTATTTAGCTTTTCTATTCATTTGTGAAATATTAACCTTGTGTAATATGAAAAGGGACAAATCAATTCACAGCCTTAAAATCAATTTGACTGAATATCTGAAAATAACACAAAGTTGTTTCTTGTCTGCTAGTGAATTTTATGTGGCCATTTTCAGATGCAGTTTAGCACACATTTAGTGATTCACAAATATAAACTTCAAAGAATTTACAGGGAAAATGGTTAGAAGTTGAGCTTTACAGCTCCATTCAATATAGAAATAAATAAGTCAATTTAGTCTCTCCAATGACCTTAGAATAAACTGTTTTAGAAGTGAGAATGCTATCAGAGAACCTATTCAGATCACTGCAGTGCACCAATATTTTATATCCTAATTCATATTTTCTTGTTTTAACAGTGTTTCCTGTGCAAGCATGAGTGTTGGAGTGAGAGTCAACAAGATTGGCATCTTCGAGTCCATCATGGCATTAAAAATAAGGCTGTAGCTTGTTTTGTGTGTGGTGCTCAGTTATCTACACCCACCGAGCGCAAAGCTCATGTACGTAAACATCTTGCTACCTTGACATGCCCAAGTTGCTCTCTCAAGTTCTCAGCACAGCATCAGTTGGTTGCACATGTCAAGCAGCACCTCGAGAAACTACGGCCACACTGCTGTCTACTCTGTGGTGCTAGATTCAGTCATGCTGGCACTTTGCAGGTGCACTCGTGGCGGCACAGACCTCAGAAGTGTACCGAGGAAGGGTGTCGGCACGTAACAGAAGATGAGAGCTGGCTTGTAGTTCATCTTCAGAATCAACACACATTAACAGGCAGACAAATCCAAAGTATTATTGCTGTTCGAAATGCTTCTGATCATAATATGGATCTATTATTAGGTAAATACTCATCCTTATATGAAATCCCTTCAACTGGATTGAGTTCATATAATTCTGAAAAATGTTTTACTTCAGATGACTTAAAATCCTCGTCCACTGGAGGTTCTGCTGGCCAGTTAAAGCATGCTGAAAGTGAGAGATTAACCTCATGTTCAGATCAGCAATCTCAGGCCGCAGTGGATGAGGATTGCAATATATTTAAGGATGTTGTGAACTGTTTGGTGGAGACTGTAGCAATTGTTGAAGAGGAGCAGAAGAAAGGCTTGAGAAGAGAAGAGGAGATACTTCAGAAGGTTACAGAGGAAGGACCAACCATGCATCGATGCGGTTTATGCAATATTTATCTGCCTTCAGCAGAAGAACTTGCTGCACATAAATCTGGACACAACCAGGTACAGTACTATATATATTTATATTGGTACACTACTAATTAATAAACAAGGAAAACACTATGTTCTTAAAATTTAAGGGGCAGCTTCTGAGCTGTCATGAATAATAATAATAATACAGTATTACCTGTATTAATATTTTATTTATAACAAATATTACCAAAGGTCTGATTATAATGTTTACATAGAAATACCACTAATCATGCACAGGACATTTTATTGCATTGATTCCACAAGGAACATTTAACAATCTATTATATATAGCCTCCTCTATTATAGTTGCCAATGAAGTTTCTCGTTGCATCTCCTTGCCTAACTCCATGTTAGCCCTCAGGGTCCCTTCGAGTTGTTCACCATATGAGTCTATTTGCTTGTTTATTTCTTCAAATTTCTTACTCTTCATTTTCCATGCCTCATTATCCTTTACTAGTTCCTTGATGTGTTCCTCCTGCATCCTTACCTTATTAGTCAAGCTGGTAATTTCCTTACCTTGCTGGAAAATACTTCCTTTTAAATTACAAAACTCAATCTTGAGACCTTTATTTTCTTGTTCTAATTTAATAACCTTTTCTTCATCATTCTTTAGCATGTCTTCAATAATCACTAACCTGCCAAGAAAACCACCTTTCATTACATCTTGTTGCGAGAAACCTGCAAAACATTCCCTTGATGGGGTACTGTCCTCCCCTGTGGTGGCGGCCATCTTTGTTGACATTCTGTTGTTATGAAAGATCAACTTTTCTAGCCAAGACTTTGCATTCACTAATGCTTATTTCTTATCTCTTAGTTTATTTTCAAATTCCCTTCATGTATACCACTTGCAACCCTCACCCTACTCCCCACAACATAGATCATTTGAATTAATTTAATTAATAATAATAATAATAATAATAATAATACTGTAATTAATAATAAAAATAAAATAATTTGAAGTAAGAGTGTGTGTGTGTGTGTTGGGGTCAGTCAGTTGTACCTAATAGACAGAGTTTCCTAACAAGCCAAATTTTTGTGAAATATTAAATTTTCCAAAATGTTTCTTATGAAATAATAGTTTTCATTGTATTGTATATTATTGCAATTTTATGTTATTTGAGTCAAAACTAACATAGAAATTTTATCAAATGTATCCTAACCTAATACACACACATGTGCGTGTGCACACAAAGTTATAAAATTCTTTGAAAACTGTAGTGAAGTAGTATATCTTTTTTCAGGCAATCATATGTTTGAAATGCCAAAAGTCTTTCCTGAGTGTGAAGCAGCTTAAACGCCACATGACAGTCCATAATTCACAAGAGGGAAGCAAGGATGAAGCAGAGAAACATAGAGGCAAGTTATCTTGAATCGTAAATAGCTATTATAGAATATATGATTAGATAGAGTATTTGTATCTGATGTTAACTTCAGTTTTGCAATTATGTTTTGGTTAGTTGAAATATTCCTTTTGCAAAATATACTTTATTAATTAGCTACAGCATTTTTTACAGTTCCACATGAGTATCGATGTCTAGAGTGTGGGAAAATATGTGCATCTGAATCGGCTCTCAGTCGGCATAGGGGCACACATGCACGTTCTCTTGGGCGACATCAGTGCCAAACCTGCAAACGGCGAGTACGAACTCGCAACCAACTCACTGAGCACATGGCACGTGTTCATAAAGTAAGTAAAAAAGTTGTCGTGTAAATTATATATTACTAAACAGTCATTTACCGAGGCACTGTATAAAAAACTGCCATCATAGGACAACGCCAAGGGTATAGTAAGTGGAGCCTGTGCTATTCTGGTCAATTTCAGTATTGTATTTAAATTCATAGATGGAGAAATGCTAAAAAGTAGAAGATAGATTATAATGACTCGTCCCTTTCTGGGAGCACCTCATTAGCTCCCCTGAGCTTATGTTGTTAGTATATTGAAAACATATTAAACAAAATCCATAAATTTTCTCACAAAACTGGAAAGCAAACATTTCAACAAAGAGTCAAATGGTATATCTGAGAACTTGCTTTTCCAAGATATGAATCCTAAAAAACCTCCATGAAGACCCTGAAGACTGTCAGTAGGACTCATGCACAGACTTACCTAACAGTAGCCTCTGGCATAAAACTGCCATAGTCCTTAATAAAAGCCAACAACAACTTAAACTGCCATAACCTCAGCAGTTTCTTTTTGTCATTTTGGACATCAACTAATAAGCCAAATCAATGCTAAACACACCAGATACTGTATCAATACAAACTACAAAACCATCTTGGGTAGAGCAGATTAACTTTGCCATACCTTCTCATCTTTTAGCCCAATCTATTTTTTCACATTTTCTCCACCCCATACCTCTTTCCTACCCTCTCTTACCAAATCCTTTGGTCAAGGAATCTGAGCCATTTATTCACCCCAAATCTACATACAGAGTACGGATTAATTTTGGTTAGTCTGAGGTTTGTAATACATTACCATGTTGGTCGCTCTGTGACAACATGAGTTAGACTCTCCATTGTCTTCCTTATCCACCTTTTGCCTTGATAAAACCATTTAGAAATAGCCTTATCAGGGGGAAAGGTTTCAAGAGCCTAGTACTGTATATTGAAATTATCCTGGTGGTCCAAATAACTCGGGATCCTTTTCCTGAGTGTTGCACTATACTCAATGTAAATTTTTTTACCTACATTTTTACTCTCAATGGGAACAATTCTCCAGAGGGTGCCACAGCCCAAGGCTTGAACAAGTTTTATAGTACCAATTATAAACTGTTTCTTTGTGTTAAGATATGTAAATTTGTGAAGTAATTCATAATAGTTAAGGAGAAAAACTGACTAGCAACATAAGTTCCCAATGCAAGATAAGGTTTTCCAATATGGCCACTCAGTGGCTTCTGAAGATGTTTGTTATTCACTTTCCAGACATATATAGTAGTGCTTTAAATATCTAAAGAATGCGGAGAGGGATATTTCCAAATCCAGATACCAGTTTTTTAATTCTGAATTTATTTAATCCCCAGATTAATCATGAATCAAAGAAGCTGCAATGTCCAATGTGTGATAGAAGATTCACGTCAAAAATTCACCTTGAGTCGTAAGTGTATTACAGTACAGTACTCAGTAATGGGTTTCAATTGCATGTAAAGGAAGAATCTGTCAAATTCCACTTTAATTCATGAAAGAATTTATACCATTAATGTGTATCTTGCACTCAAACTTCATGCGAATATATATTCATTGAATTATAATTAACTCATAATTAAAAGGTATCCATATTCACCCCCCAAAAAAACTCAATGTAACCTCAGGATATCTTTATTCCACTTCTTGTGTGTATCACAGATTGATTTGTGAACCTTATAACATTAATGTATGATATCCTGACACAGTCTCCTTCTTTGATCTTACCCATACATCTTTGTTGTGTGTATGTATGTATGTTTCAACAATTAAGTTGCACGAGTACTGACTGAGAAGATATTTGAAGTTCTTCTGAAGAGCCGGGTGTCGTGTGTAGCCACTGGGCAAACATCCCTGGTTGGGATGTACAGTTCAAGGTTTAAGAAGTTGTTCGCCAGTGGGAAAAATAGTTGTTTACTGAATATTTCATTAGTGAACACTTTGTTGTGTGTTACACATCTCACTTGTTAAGTAACGTTTTCTTGCTTTCTTTGAGTTTCTTCATTTTATATTAAATTTATGCTTAACATTTTTTCTTTATAAGGCATTTATTGGCCCATGGGGAACGGGAGCCTCTTTGGTCGTGCGACAAGTGTGACCGGAATTATGTCCGTCCTCGCAGTCTGCAGCGGCACATGGCAATGCACGATCACAAATATGTGTGCAGCACTTGCAATGAATCCTTCAATTCTGCTCATCGTCTGTCCGTCCATTCCAGAATCCATGATCCCTCGCACAAAAAAAGGTGATATAACGGAAAAATAACATGTTCTCTTTGGATAGATGTTGTTGTACAGTATCTTGTTCATGTACAAAGAAACCTCAATACAATATTAGAAACAATATATATTTAAAATAACAGTGTCCATTATTATCTTTATAACACTGCACCAGTAATTTTTCTTCAAACTGTGAATACAATTATGCATTTTTCAGGTTGTCTTGCCCAAAGTGCCCTCAGCAATATGCATATGAAAGTCAGCTGCAAGTGCATATGCGAATCCACACAGGTGAAAAGCCATATGTGTGTGAAACATGTGGCAAATGCTTCAAGCGTATACAAGTTAGTTGGGTTGTTATTATAATGTACTTGTGTGCAGCTAGAGGTCTGCAATGCTTCTGGTCATACAGTTTGATCAGTCCCAGTTACCGAGGTATGCCCTGCTGTATACCAGGTCAAGCAGCACGCATTTTTGTTAATATCATGCACACAGTTAATTTACCCATAGTTGCAGTTAACAATACCTACAATTAACTACAGTCTATAGCTGAATATCTAAAATTAAAAAACCCAAAAATAAAATAATAAAATAAAATTCAAAAGAATATGAAAATATAACGTTGTTATGAACTTTCAAATAATGTTTGGAATCCTTAATATTTTGCCGCTTTATCGCTTTCATTGTCTTTTAATTAGAAATTTATGTCAAGTGTTGACTGTATTGATGCTCTCATCACTGTGGGGCCCATGCATACTTCATACAATTGCCTTGTCAACTTAAATTTCCCCTGCACATGTTCACATTTCACAACTTAAACTGTGCCACAAAAAGTCATTCCTTAAAAGCCCTGCTGTCGCCTGGTGGCAACTGGGAGTGTTGAGGCAACTATTAGTCGAGTTGCTTGGCCTTTTCATTCTTTAATCATAGATGTGTATGGTTTTGTTGTCTTTACTCAACTTTTTGAGCACTTCAGCTTGGTTGTGGGTTGATTTTTGGTCTCCATGTGCTCTTCGTCTCTTTGAGGAGGTAGGCCAAGAAAGACTTGGAAGGAGCCTAATGTTTGTGAGCAGCTGTTTAGAGTCGGTGCTCTCAAAGTCCTGGCCGCTACTGAAGTGCTGCACAGAAGGTGGTGCTCATTGCACTTAATGCTCTACTTTTTTAATCTTTCCTCTTGAAAATGGTCTTGTCCATATAGTTGCAAGTTCTGTACTATTATGATTATAGGGATAAAGAGTGAATTTAATTATTTAATAACTCATAAATTCTAAAGTACAGTGTGTATTTCTAAACTGAAAAATAGGAAGGAAAATTGCATATTTTATGATGATTGTAAAATGACTGCATTTATTTTTTCCTCGCCGTAATTCAGCAATGCCATGCGCACCATCGCATGATACATGGAAACCATAAAGAGACTTGTGTTGAGTGTGGAAAGACATTTGGAGACAAGACGAACTTGTTGCGTCACCGCCTTATGGTTCATTATCACCTCAAACGCTGGGTAAGAAAAAAATCAAATTAAGTCTTTTCATATGAATATATCATGTGGAAAAATGTATTGTATATTATTTTGTTTTTAGCAGACAAAGTGTCAGTATTATCTTCCAGAATTAAGTCCCCTCAAATGGTCCCATAGCCTATATGACCTATTGAGGACTCATGGCAGCCACCACTCCACTTCATGATAGGAACCTTTGCAAGTGACTTGGTCACATATTAAGAGATGGTAGCCAATGGTGAGCCATACTCAAACAACTATTGAGAGAATTAGCTCGCTATTATACAATGGAGCAATTCATAATGCAAACACTTCCTGCAATGAAAATTAGAACTACTGTACCAAGACTACTGTACCAAGCTATAAAATGTACAGAGAACCTTTGTTGCCAGTATAAGTTATGCACTACTGGGATTGTCTTGGAGCACTCTAAGCTATACTCCTTGGAATTGATACAAGATAGATATTAACTATATTCACACACGGTAAATACTGGAAGGTCAGGTTTCAAGCTGGCACAATATTGTTACAACACATTACAGTGTTGTAATATGATGGGTAATGTAAAATAAATCTAGAGTAAAATCAGGGCATCTTGAACACAATTGAAGAACACTGTGAATGCTGTAAGTCCACAATTCTTCGCTTTCCGGCCAGTAAATATATAAAATATTGATTGAGCAATAGAGGAGTTATTACACTTGTCTGGTTGTGATGGCAAAAAAAAAAAAATCTTCATTGACCAGGCCTTCACCATGAAAGTATTGCATCAGGCTAAGCTTCAGGGGGTGAAACCTACTTTTTATTAATAATTTGTGCTTGCAGGAGAGGAGTTTGAGAGTTGTGGTTTGTTCTTTTGTATAAAAGAAAACTGGTTTTCTCGGTAGTGCCTTGAGTAACACTTATCACTATTTCCTTTCCCCTAGATATATGACAGGACCACTTGCAAAGAGCCCCCCCCCCCCCTCTCATTATGAAGAGGAAATTACAGGAATGAGAGTAGTCTGTAAAGTGAGTCCTTGGTGGATCATATAGGAGCGTCTGTGAAAGCATCCGAAGGACATGCTCAGAGAAAAGAATTTCACTGTGCTCAGTTCTTTGGTGTTTCTGTGCAGCAATAAATTGAGTACTGAATCCCTTAGATTTGGTTGACTTGTGGTCTAATTATTAATATAATTAATGACATATTACAACTGATAGCATTAGATGTTTAATGTTGGGCTTCTACTGCACCACCAGGTGTGTGGTGTCTGTGCACAAAGCTATGCATATTCTCAGGACCTCAGAAATCACCTACAGAAGCAGCATAGCCTCGAATTTGAACGACTCGATGGAACCAACAAAAGATCCCGACATGAGGTAAGTGTGGTCATAGGAAAATACTAATGAAATATTGTGTGTGTATGTAATCACCCAAGTGTATTGTTGTTATAGGATGAGAACTACACTCACAGCCTCTTGTTTTACTTCTGCTCTTTGTCATATAAATTTTTGAAGTTGCTATTGTTTTGACATACCTGGTTGATGGGGTTCTGGGAGTTCTTCTACTCCCCAAGCCCGGCCCGGGGCCCAGACTTGTCTTGTGAGAGTTTGGTCCACTAGGCTGTTGCTTGAAGCGGCCCGCAGGTCCACATACCCACCACAGCCCGGTTGGTCTGGCACTCCATGAAGGAAACAATCCAGTTTCCTCTTAAAGATGTCCACGGTTGTTCCTGTAATATTCTGTAATAACATACACTACCTTCTAATTTAATTTATTTCATCTGTCTACCACATCTCCCTTACTCCACCAAAGTTATCTTCTCTGAGGGGATTAGTGATTCTTCCTCTACAAGTTGACTCCTCTTGTGTTATCGTGCTTCTGGGTAGTGTGGTAGCAAAGTAGTTTAGGCAGTAAGGGGTCGGTGTTTGTCTTGCCGAGATGCTTTTCCTGTGCCTGGCCTTCCTGCTTGTCTGCAGGTGGTTTAGGTGGTCATTATGCCTCACCTCCAAAATTCTCATTGATAATGCTAAAAATAGTTGTAAAAAAGGAAACTGGGATAGGAATTTGTATAATATTTCTTTGGATACTTGTAGTAATGTTAAATCTCTGTGAGTACTTCCTATATTTACATCTTGCAAGATGGCTTAGGTATCATAATTTTTAACTGGTTTTGAATATTAAACAACATGATTAAGATGTCAATCTTCAATGTACAATTGTTAAAAACAATGTGCTTGTTCTGTAAAGAGTATGTGCTTTTTGCAATATTTAAATGTTTCTGAATTAACTATACATATGTTTTGTCCATTAAGCATATGAGTATCACATTCTCAAGCCTCAATTAGATGTATCAATGTTTATCTTTGAACATTATTTCAGGTTTATGTTGTGCCCGAGTTGGGAAGTCAAGACCTGAGTCAAGCTGTTCAAAGAGCAGTAGAAAGTGTATGCGCTCTAGAGCACCGGAAAGTGCAACAAGTTCTATGTAGTACCTCGAGCAGCCTGAAAAAGTCCAGAAAGACCGAAATTGAAAATTCAGAGGATGTTGACAACCCTGATGATCCAGCATTACTTCATGATAATCCCTTAACCATTGCATCTCTTGTGGTTAATGATCCCCCGCCTATCAAAGAAACTGCTGTGACTGCTACATCTATATTAGTTCCCTCTGCTACCATAGCAATTCCCACTGTTATTGAAGCTAGCCACATTCAGACAGAAGAGAAAACTGGTCAGACTGCAACAACAGAAAGAGAGGTGCAGGGCTTTGTAAGATTGACTGGGATAAATTGTGTTGAGTGTGGAGTCGAAACTACCACACCACTTCAGTGTGGCCCGTGTGGTGCATTCATGTGTTCACAAGCACACTTGGATATTCATGCTGCCTCAAATCACCGTGTGATGTTTCAGTGTTCAGTTTGTGGTGTGCATTATGGAAGTCAGGGAGAGTGTGTGGCTCATGTTACTGCAGCTCATTCATCACATTTGTTGGCTGTTCAAGGAGGTGCAACAACTTATCTTCCTCAGCAACCTTCTCAGTCCATTCAGATAAACGGTGGTGGGACCTTACCACCACAACTGTGTATGCCTCTTGCCCATTCTCAGCCAGTGCCACAGGGTCTTGTGCAAGTAGCAGGACATTCACACCAGGTCCCCCTTGTCATTGCACCAGCCACAGCCAATGCAGCTGAACATCAAATAGAAACCAATAATGTAATTCTCCAGTATCCAAATGTCAATTCTCTTTCAGCAAGCTTTCCCATTCTGCCTCATTCAGCAGTAGTAGATTCTACCAGGAATCCAGGAAAGCAGCCAATCTTTACCATGACTGGTGTTCTGTCTGGACATCAACAAACACTGCCAAGAAATCTGAGAAAAGATGGTCATACCCTAGATAAGCAGGAGAAGCAGCCTGGGCCGTCAGTATGTGCCATCACGTTTCCATCCAGTAATGATGGAGGCTTGATGCTTCCAACAGGCGAAGCCTCTTCCATAAACTTCTCTTCTGTGCAGAACATAACTTCACTTCCTACCATCTTTCCTCGCACAAACAGTAATGGGGAAAATTCCACTTTTCTCATGGGAGATGTGAGCATCAACACACAGACAAATGACAGTGAACCTGTTTTGTTAGTGGGTTCACTACCTTTCAGTAATATATCAACAGGATCCCCAGCTGTTTTATCTCAGCATAAGGTGAGGAGTTACTCATTTATTAAAAATTGAATTGACAGGAATGATTCATATCTGTAAAATATTGAGATTAAGATAGTGGGGCTTGTGACATTAAAAATTACTTTTAATATGTAGCGAAGGTTTAGGCTTCGACAAATTGCTTTGGTAGTGTTGTATGTATTACAGAACATGTGTGTAATGTCATCTGTATTGTTATAATTATTTAGAGATAAAATACCAATTGACCCCTGTTTACAGTGGCAACACTACAATGGTGAAGGAAGGGAGGGGGAGGTAATTATTAGGGGAAAGTGCCAGGCCCTTACGACTAGGTATAGCACTTGAAAGGGGTCAGGATAAGGATTTGGGATGGGACGAGGGAAAGAATGGTGCCCAACCATTTGGATGGTCGGGGATTGAATGCTGACCTGCATGAAGCGTGACCGTCGCTCTACCGTCCATCCCAAGTAGTTGGGCGAATGAAAGGAAGGGAACTATCGGATGAAAGTGCCAAGCAATTACTACTACTGTATACTGTATTGGCATGAAAAGAAGGAAAAGTAATAACATTTAGGTCCATTCTGGATATTCCTCAATACCTCAACTTTCCTGCTTTTTGTATGTGTAAGTTGGGTATTAAAGTTATTTTCTCTGTCTTTCAAGGATGGCTGGTTTACTTGGCTATGATACCACTACAAAATCACATAGTTCTGTAGTCTGCAATATTTTTCAGCTTCCATACTGTTCATTTAGGAATACTATATCTTATTTCACTGTTTTGTATTATTTTCTGGGCATTTGTCATTCAGTTACTCCTTAAGGTTAAGTTCTGTTGTCTGAAGGATTGGATCATGTAGTCAGGCATAGCAACATATTGGCATTGGTGCCATTGGGAGGTTTACCATTGGAGATTATATCCATTGTTATATTATTTTCATTCTTTAGAAATTGTGTTGATCTAAATCAACTGAAATCTTTTGCAGTAGAGTATTTGTTATCCTAATTCTGATTTGCTCTACAATTGAATTCATTGTTTTGAATCTATTGGCTAATTAAATTAAATTTTTCCAGCAATGTAATCTTAGCAATCAGACAAGCACATCCGTGGCCAGCGTCCTCTTAACACTGGCAGAAGCTTCTCCCAACGGGCCGGCGGCACCACTTGTGCCAAGTGATCTGCCTAGAGTTACAGAGGAAGAAGTCAAGCAGGACTCTCCTATTATAACCAGAAACATGCCTCTGCAGAAGACTTGGGAAGGTTTGTCATTTCCAGGAACCATTAGAGACTTAATTCGAGAGATTTTCATGCATTAAATATGAAATCATACTGTAGTGTATGGGATAGGTTGAAATAGTGCGGTAAACTAGGGGAGTATACACATATTCCTTGCATGGCTTCAGAAGTATTGTAGTAATCAGGTGAAGCCTTAAAGGTAGGGTCAGGAGCTCAAGCTTATTTCCCACAAGCACAGCTAGGCGAGTACAGGTAGCGAAGTATGTGGCACTAGCTAAAAAGACTGGAACTATATTGTTTTTCAGGCAAAGTATTAAAGTAAGATACAGTACAGTAAATTAAGGTTTTGACATTTATAGCACTTAAATTTTCCAAAGTTGAGTGACTACCATAGTTTATAAAAGCTCCAATGAGTGATTCATTGCAATTTTTACTGAAAACATTTTCAGCATGGTATATATGGCATATTTCTTTGTCAGAGTGAAATAAATATTGAATAATATTATCTTGCAGAAGAAGAGCCTAACACTGGGGATGGCTCGAACCTTCTTCAGTCTTTGGTAGAACTTCCTGTTTCAGCTGAGGAGGGGAATCCTTCATCAGGTTCATCATCTCTTCCTAATGTACAGGTTAGGAGCTCAGCCCTTGAGTTGCAAAGAAATATACAAATTCTTATAGATTAAGGTATTATTTATTTTCTTCACTGAATGCCAGCCATTTTCTAATGGTCTTTGTATAAACTGTCCTTTCCAAAAGTCAAGTCTTGGGTCCTGTATTCTCATTTATCCATCCTGTGGCTTTGTGGAGTGGGAGGGAAGTAAATTAAAAATAGAAAGGTGGAAGTAGTGAAAGCTTTTAAGGTGAGGATATTGCTGGTGCAAGGAAAGCCCTATTAGGACAAAGCAAAATAAAAGTATATGAGGCCAGAAGTCAGCATGCAGGAGTGGCAGTGCCGACTCTAGCACACAGTTTTGAGACAGTGGGGTGAAAATGAAAAATTGCATGTTAAAGCAGTAAAAATGGTTAATTTGAGGATCATGTGTTGGGTTAGGGGAATAGCTGTTATCAAGAATTAAAATCTCATGAAGAGAAGTGGAGTACCAAGGTTAATAAACTGCAAAATTGAGTAATATACTGTGATGGTTTAGGAATATTGAATGAGTGCATGATAGCGGACTTGTGAAGAAAGAGCATTCGAGTAAATTTGAGGGGAGGAAGAAGAGTGGGAAGAAGGTAGATGAACACGGGTGAGTGTGTAAGGAAGTGGGAAGTGGGTGTGAACAACATATGGGAGACTTTAAGGGTGAAAGCTGAGTGGAAGGGGTATGTAAGAAAGACATGAATGTATTTATTTTGTAGTAATCTGTGAGGCTAACCAGATAAGCTGATAATATAACAGATTAACAATACCAATAAGAATAATGTTGACATAATAAAGGCTAGAGTTGTTGTGGATACTGGTGTCAGTTATAGCAAAAATAATCATTCTATATTGCAGGAGTTCAATCTCTTAATCATTACTTAAAGTTAGTTATGCCTATATTTTGCTTGCTCTACAGGTACCTGAAAGTATATGTACTCAAGAGCCTCCGCATGAAGTGAGCGTTGAAATCATCCAGCCTCGGCCACGACGCTCTAAGGCACAGTCAAAAAAAGCAAAATTGCATTGGGAGAAGGCAGTATCACGTACAAAAAGGTATATAGTAATGTACTGAGAGCTAGGACTTGGTATGCAGGCGATGAGTCACAATAACGTGGCTGAAGTATGTTGACCAGACCACACACTAGAAATTGAAGGGACGACGACGTTTCGGTCCGTCCTGGACCATTCTCAAGTCGATTGTCGACTTGAGAATCGACTTGAGAATGGTCCAGGACGGACCGAAACGTCGTCGTCCCTTCAATTTCTAGTGTGTGGTCTGGTCAACAATAGGACTTGGTATGTTTACCGAGAGCTGGGACTCGGGGGTTTAAATTTAAAAAAAAAAATATTTAAAACTTATTTTTTTCAAATGATTTTGGTATCAAAATATGTGTAAAAGCTTATCATTTACTATTAAAATCACTTCATTTTTGTTTTCTTAATGGTTCTTTACCAAATGTATCACTATGTCTAAGAATACTGTTAGTCCCAGATGTTTGCGAAGCTGATTATGATGTGTAGAATGTCGTATTATGTTCGCAAGCTTTAAATATGATATCTTTAAATGTGCTTCTATATTTATAAAGACCATTCCAGCATCAGCAGCTGATCCAACACTGGATTTCTGAAGATCATAAATTATCACAGCACCAAATGACCTGATGCTGAATTACAATGTGCAGCAGATGAATATTACAACACATTACCAGATATTATAGAGGAGAGTACATATGATAAAAATATGATATACGGTACATATTTATTCCAGTGGAGTTCTGTTAATGATGAAGTTGCAGACCTTTTGCACTTGGCCAAAGCTGCAATCACTGGCATATTTGTGTTATCTTGGTAGATACTTAATCTGTTGACTAGAGTGTAATAATACTTACAGATATTTTATCTTTCAGTAGGATGACTTCCCTATTTTAATGTGTGCTCACAATGGGACACAGGTGTTCATAATACAATATTGTTTGTATTATGAGGTACTATATATTTTGGACATCAACTGAGCAATATTGGAACATATCTAGTTACCAGGATTAACCCATTCCTACTTTCATTGGTGAAGTGGCATCAGTCTATGAAAATAGGCAAGTGGTATAATTGTATTTGGTGTATTGTATTTATATATATTACTCTTGCAGGGGTGCAGAAGACCAGCCATCCAACAGTGCAGATGTGAACTTAGCGTTCCAGTGCTCAACATGTGGGAAGAATTTTCAGTCTAAAGCATGTCTGGAGCGGCACCAACGCACACATAATGGTCAGAGATTCAAGTGCCAGTTGTGTGATAAAGCATTTACTGAAAAATACAATCTCAAGACACACATGCTGATGCACACACATGAACGTCCACATGTTTGCAACCAGTGTCCCAAATCTTTCAGGTTTTGTATAATATTCTTGCTTTTGCCTAAGAATGTAGACATACCATTAGCAAAACTATTTACTGCAAATGCTACTTTTGGATTCCAAATTCTCGTACACCATAATGCAGCTGTTGAAATCAATTTCCAGCTAGATAATTATTGAAAAGATCAGTCATTATCATTCACTGACATCTGGGACAAATTCTGTTGCAGTGTACTTAATTATATGTAAGGGATGGCATTTGTTTTTTTAGGGCAGGGATGACAATGGAGGGAGCTGTCAAAAACGATTTGCGAGGGATTTAAACTGTTAACAAAAATAGAGATCCGGGTGTGTGTCCGGAGGAAGACGGGTGTGATCCTGTTGACCATTACTGACTGTTGGGGGGGAAAGCATTTGGGATGGTGGTAGAAAAACTCTTAAAGTAGGGTTGATACCCAATCCACAAGCACACTACTCCCACAGTGAGGCATCCGACTTACAGATTGCTTGCTGCATGAACACCACCTTGGGCTCCTACTCTCCTAGCTAACACTTTTAAATACTCTATATTATAATACAGGAAACCTTTGATTTGCATGGAGGTTATGTGAACTTTTGAAGGTCTCTGAAACCTAATGTTATTTTTGCATATTCTATTAAAATTGATTTGTATGATGAAAATCCAATTTAAATAAATATTAGGAAAATAGAGATAGGATCAAGAGATCTTCAAATGTCCACATAACCTCTATGTAAACTTTATTCAACAAAAAAACAGTTTTAACATTAATATAAATTGCTCCCTCCACCATCCAGCCATAAATACAGCACAGTGAAGAGGAGAATTTTTGGGATGGGCAGTGATACCATAATATAATCCCAAAAGATCTTAAAATACAAGAACGTAGCATATATGTGAGCTTGAAAGGCAGCAAAGAACTCTATAGACCTGTAGAATAGCGACATTAATTCATGCCAACTCGTGTACAGTACTACTAAAATTCAGCTGCGTTCTTAGATATTGGTACAAGTGTTTACATGTAATTACCTAAGTGTAGTTACAGGGGGAAAGACCTATGCTTGTGGTGTCACATCTTCCCCAGTACCATTACCATATGAACAATTTTACCATTCTGGTATAATTGTTCATATGGAAGTAAACATTTATCATATAATGCTTTGAAACTACTGTACTGACAGTTTTGGCCTCCATAACCACCTCACTCAAATTGGTCCAACCATCCACCACTTACAAGAGTTCCTACATTCATGTATAGCCACTAGCACGCATAGCGTTTCGGGCAAGTCCTTAATCCTATGTTCCCCAGAGTACGGCCCCGCCAAATCGTTTAACAACCAGATATCCATTTTACTGTTAAGTTAAACAGAGGCTACAGTTAAGGATTTGCGCCCAGTAAATCCTCCCCGGCCAGGATACGAATCCTGGACAAAGCGCTCGCAAAACGCCAGGCAAGCGTCTTACCACTACTCCACAAGGACTGCTAACTCTGTACATGGATCCTGGCATTTGGCGTCAGTCAGACCAGGTGGCTTGGTAGGCCAACTTGGAGTTTGCAAATGCACTATCAGAGGTTCCTGTAATGCCAAATACTGAAGTACTGTACTTAAAAAGCATTTTTGAGTGTTTATGAGCCAATTTTCTGAGTCCACTCTGGACTGGATGTAGCTTTTTCCCAATGTGTCCTTAGCACTAATATGATTTGACAGAGTTTTATTATGTTGCTGTTACTTTCTGCCCGTGGCAGTGAGCCTGACATTTGAAGAAATGTAAAATTTCTTTTTAATTAAATTCTTCATATTTTTTTATGATACATTTCACTATCGACAGGTATATACGTGACCTAAAAGAACATAAACGTAACCATGAAGGATCTAGACCACATGTGTGTAAAATCTGCGAAAAAGGGTTTGTTCGGTGGAGAGATTACACAAGACATTACCGGGTAAGTTACATTCTTGTCGCTTGTGGTGTTTGCTAAATAATATTATCATTCAAATAGGATTACTACACAAAAGCTTCATACAGTACATAAATTGGCATTTTTGCAGAAATTCTCAATATTCATTTTATTATGAAATGCCATAGGTGTCTTATCTTTCACGTATCACTTGATGTTTCAATCATGTGAATGCTTGTACTGTACTTAAATATGAAATGCTGCTGTAATTATTAATACAGTATCATGTTCTCTTTTAGGAACAACATGGTACTCAGCGTCACCAGTGCCAGATTTGTGGCTCTTCGTTCAAACGGCGTTTGTACCTAGAAACGGTTCATATGAGGACTCGTCACCCGCAAGTAGATGAGGCAAGTCTCGATGAGTGATAACTCTCTGGTATATTTCTGGTATAGTTGTTTATGGAAGTAAACATTCATGTGATGGCATGAAATAATAACAATAACAACATATATGTCAATATTTATTCATAAATGTTCTTAAATCTATAATTAGTATTGCACAGGGCAACTTGTCAGTGGATACAGTCAATAAACAATATAATAACTAGCAATAACATTACTAGTCAATTGTAATATAATTGGCTTGGTCTTCAAAATACCTTTACATGTATAAGATCTAAATGTTGTTTAAAGAAGTTTGGAAAAGTTTGCTAATGAATATCTTGTTTGGCTCTAGAGAAAATAACATCCAGGATATCAGGTATACTGACAGCAACTTATATTTAGGAGCAGTTTTCTTAAATACAGTATTTGGAAAAGAATAAAGACTACTTGATCAGTACATTGCTTCTTCATTTTTCCAATGTAAATATTGTAATATATTTAACAAGCACAACAAAGAAGATTAACAAACAAAAGTTCTTTTGCCAAGGCCAAGCTTACTGTATACATAATAAATAGAGTAAGGAACCTGCTAGGTTCAAACATGTGGCTCTTCATGATTTCTGAAGAGTCAAACATCATCTCCAAGATAACAGTTTCATCACCAGTTTCATCAGTTTTCTAGATTCTTTTCATGCATCCATATGCTTGTTCCAAGTTCAGTGTCATGCACTCTGTTATGATCATTGCTTGTGTTTCTCTGCCACAAATGTAACTTACCATCATCTATGTCAGAAGGAAATTACTACAAGTTATGAGTAATGAGCCTCATAGCAGTTGGCATTTCTTTTGTATATCTGTGAATGTTGAAGTGCAGCATCATAGGATAGAGCTTCAAGAATGAGGAGTAGGCAATTGTTGAAGACATTTGAATGCAGGTTTACTGCATTTGGGGTTGCATGAAATATTGATTCTACAAGCCCTGAGATTTACATTGTGCTGCCACCTGTTGGGTGATTAGCTTAGGTAACCGGACTAGGAAATGAGCAGTAAGGAATAGTTTGTCAACAGTCATTTGCAATGCTAAAATGGTTTGCAAAGACTTTTAGATTCTTAGGAATGCATATCAATCATTCTGGGTTGGATTGTGGTTATCTTCTTTGACTTACTAATGTCTATAATGACCCCTGCAGAAACCATTTGAAAAGTTAACTGTTGTGCTGGTCTCAGAATTCCATCCTTCCAGACTGTAATTCTGGTCATATGTCATAGTGGATATTACCTTAGGGACCTACTAAATGATTATACTCAGAAAGGTGTTTTTCATATTCATTCGAGCCATATTTTTTTTTACAGTCAACAGAGGAGAAGAGTGCTCGAGACCAAAGTAAACTAAATAAAAAGGAAACCAATGAAACGAAGGAGACTCATATTTGTAGAATTTGTGGAAGAGCCTTTGCTCGGGCTCGTTACTTGACTTCTCATCTTCGTACACACTCCAGACGTGCTGATTATGTTCGCTGCCCAAGATGTCCCCGAATGTTTACATCAGAACGAACACTCAAGGTTAGTGGTAATTTCCGAGTATTCCATTTAATTGTTTCTTAAGGCAAGGTCTTTTCTGGTCTAGACAGACAAACATTCTGCACTTGGCAGGAATTTCTTCAAACATCTCTGCTGGATAATACTGGTGCTGTGGGAGGTGTTAATGAAATACTAAGTCCAGTTCAGAATAACCTCTAGAAAATTCAGTAATAATCACTACAGTTGTACTTGGCATCACAGGAACTGCAAAGTGGTACTCTTTCATTCAGGGTTTCCTGACTTGAGCTTCTTCACATTCTTCCTGACTAGTTCCCATGTCATTCAAGGCAGGCAGAGTTAAAAATTCAGTTGACTTTCATCCTAAGAAACTTGGTTTCATTATGATGAGTTTTTTCTCTCGAGTGTTGTGCATTTGAAGCTTCTTGGAGCTTTGTTCCAGAAGTGGGGGTGTTTGTGCTGCTGTACGGAATACACTTGGCCACTATGTCATATGAGTGTGTGGGAGAATGCTCTGTTTTCTTAACAACTAAAAGGTCACTCCTTAGATTTATTTGTGGCTGTATTGTAATTTTTGATTCAGTCGCCACCTTCCCTCATCCTTCCTCGTCTTGGGCTTAGAGACTGGGCTAGACAAGGGATAGCCTTGACCCCTGTGTCTTGGTAATGAGACCTAATCTTCATGCTGCAGTTTGGGTTGGAAGTGTTGATGATCTATTATTGGTTTAGGCCAATATTTTACCTCTGCATGTTCACTATAACACATATGGCTATTGCTTCTTCTATTCCTCCTGTTTGGTTGAAGGTCATTTTCACCCCTCAGGTGGGCCTTTTCTGTAGTGTTTAAGCTGTGACTTGTTTTGATCCCATTTCTTAGTCACTGTCTCAGAAACAGGGTGCTAAATCACTGATTTGTAAATGAAATATCAGTGATAGAAGTCTAAATTTGCTAAATTTAAAAATCCTGCCTTGATGACTGGCTCATATGGGCCCCCAGTCTTAGGCATTACTAGAAAACTTTGGCTTTCTGATTAATGAGCCAAAATTCCAGCTCCAGTCTTTGCCATGGTTGGGGTTCATTTGAGATACAGTAGCAACATCTGAGTCTGTTCTTGAAGTTGAACAGAACACTTGAAGCCACATACCTTCCTAAAAATGCCGGCGTGCACAGCCAGTGCAGTGATTTGGCTATCCTCCAGATGTCCAACTTCTTTTTCTGGTATGGTTTATCTTGTGTGAAACTTCCTGGGCTGCTGGACACTTCTTACCTTTGCTGCTACATCAAGCACCATTCTATAGGATAAGTTAGTTATACCAGATTTATCTTTCCTTTTTGTTTCTGCTACTCCCGATCTTGCATTTCAGTGCAATGTAGTGGGATAGCCGAGAAATAAAGACTTGATTGGATATGCAAAGTTGCTTTCCGAGTAGTGCACTCAGTTGATTCTATTCCGTCTCGTGTTCTTAATCCCCTAATGATGAATGAGAGCCAGCTTAAATCTGGAAATCCAGTGTCATCATTGCTGCCAATTAGTGACAGTCTTGGATATTAGTCAGGATATTAGGATAGGACAGGTCAGGATAAAGGATATTAGTCAACACCACTCCAAGGAGTGCTGGACCAACCGGGCTGTGGTGGGTATGTGGGCCTGCGGGCCGCTCCAAGCAACAGCCTAGTGGACAAAAACTCTCAAGTCAAGCCTGGCCTCGGGCTGGGCATGGGGAGTAGACGAATTCCCAGAACCCCATTAACCAGGTATCAACCAGTCATGTTTATGACACACTGGCAGTTAGAAAGCTACAGTACTTAGTAGTCCCTGTGATATCAAATAGAGCTTGAAAGAACATTGAGCAGTTCTGAATGAACCTTTAGAGGTTAATCTGAGCTGGCGAGTTGTTGTTCTGTGCATCCCTAACACCAGTATGACCTGGTAGGGAAGTTTGGAAAAAAAAAAAACACTTAGGCTAACATTCTCAAACTGCATGTCTTTGTTTTCAATCCCATGCTTTAAGGCGGAATGTAGTGCAATACTCAGAAAGGTGTGTGTGTGTGTTCTACATTACTCGAGTTCATAAGTATTAGGATGCAGTCTCTTGTGGAAACTTTCCATCCTTTAGAGATTGGCTAAATGTAGAATCTTCTGACACTTCAACCAGTCTCAGTTGTTAAGAAACTAATTTGAAAATTAGGTAATCCAAAGAGTGACGGGAAGGTGTGAGAAATAGTCATGCGGTGCATATCAACCCTTCATGCAGAGATATTTATTTCAACTCATTTGGAGAATGACTTGCAAGGAAAACAGGGTAGTTAAATATTAACAAAGTGCTTTGCAAGGGGGGTTAGAATGATGAACAGAAAACCTCTTTAATGAAAGAAATTAAAGGCTAAAAGATAGTTCAAACCAGATCATGTAATTATAAAACTACCTTAAAGCTTTAGTCATGGTCACCTCCTTGGAGGGGTTTCAAAGAGGTAATAATGTGGTAGATATTAACAGATGTAACATTGCAATCTTTAGAGATTACAATAAAATTTTTAGGTCAAGACTCAAGGGTGAAAGTAAGAGATATGATTGAGTTGGTGAAGTGGCTTGAAGTTCAGGCTAATGTCTGGCTGCTAGTCATTAAAATCTTCAAGATGTTAGTTTTGTATTAAAGTGGCCAATATGACTCAAGATCACTCAAAAGCAAGTGAAAAGTGCACAGGTGACAAACTGGTCAGTGGATAAAACCTTACCAGAAAGAACATTCTCTATACAGGCACAGCACTTTAATGCATAGGCAGTTATGTTTACTTAATATGCGTCAAAGAATTACAGTTGACTTCATTATACCCAAGGAGTTTCATGTTACTGAAGGGAAATGTATTTACTAAAGCAATTGTTTCTCTACACTCTTTGCCAGTGAATTTTTTTTGCATTTTTTCTATAGTCAGAGTTTTATATCCAGCATTTGTAGTATGAAGTTGTAGAATATGGTGATTGAATTGGCTTTTTATTCAATATTTATATATTTTAGGTATCATCAAAATCAATTTTAATCTTTTTATAGGTCCACACTGAAGCATTTCATGACCGGGAGACTAACAACACTGGCTTTAACGAGTCTAATCGGAAACAAATGCCAGTGCAAAGTGTATTCCCTGAACTGGAACAGCCACAGACCAGCAATATTTCGGTTTCTAAACCTAGCGTGCCTAACACAGCCAGTTCTTCAGCGCCAAACACGTCACAATCAATAATGACATCTCGGCTAGCACCACTTTCTTCGTCTGAAGTGGCCAGTCATCTCCTACAACCTCCTTCACACGTTATAACCGAGCATCCATCTCACTGCAGTGGAGAAGAACTAGAGAGAAGTATCCAAGATGAGGTTGTTGGTTTAACCATTTGGCCTCGATATGCGATCTCCATCGATGTGCCTAGAAAATAATGACACTATTAGATGGCAGTGATCAAACCTGTCATTTTTTTTCCACAAGATGCATTATGTAAATTATAAAATATTAAAAATATATATATATATATGTAATATATACCTGTTGTTGTTGTTAAAGATTCGCTACCTGGAACAAAAAGTTCCACGTAACACGGGCTATGGTGAGCCCGTAGTGTCTTGTTTAATATATACCTGATATATAATGTATATGGATGTTCATATGTACACCACAACAGCAGCAAGCAGGGAAAAGAAAGGAACCAACAACCAAGATGGATGTAAATGCACCAAGGGAACTGCCTGTATATCCATTTTTATTACATAAACCCATGTAGGCCACATGAACTTTATATATTATAAAATTCAGGTGGTCCAAATGGGTTTATGTAATAAAAATGGATGTACAGGCAGCTCCCTTGGTATGAAAAGTTTCTTTCAGAACGTGTTTGTAAATCAGTTGTTTGGAACGTTATCATTTTGTTTGTCGTTTTCTTCCACTTTATGGCTCATATATAGGGTCCAAGCTTCTTCCTGGCTTGCAGACAATTCCTTGTTTTCCTAGGAGTCAGCACCTGGAAACTGCTGAGGAAGACTTCCAATAATTCCTTGGGGTAAGCAATAATTATCAAAAGCAAGCAAGCTGTGGTGACTATGTAGCACCTAGCCCTTGGGTACATCCCCGTCCTTGCCCTTTTCCCTTTCCTGTGGGCATTTTGGGCCAAGTGCTGGTGGCTCTTGAGCGGAGTGGGTAGTTGGACAGGATCGTGGGTCACATCTGATGGCAGCTGGGCACATTATGGTTAGGGTTATTCAGTTACCTTACATTCATCATTTTTCATTTCTTTCAAGCATTGTTCACCGTTTTGAACCTTTTCCAACCAGTTTTGTCAGTTTTCAGTACAAACTTTTGATCCTTGGGCTCCCTTCACCTTGTAGAGTGGTTCAAATTCTGGCCTTATCTCTCAGGTCAGAGGAACTCTCCAGAAATGGGGGATACATTTCAATCTTCAGTGATGATAGGGCCAAAGGGTTAAGGAATCAGTGTTCCAATTACTTTTCTGACTATTTTTATCACCAACTATCTTTAAAGTAATTAATGGTACGGGTGCATGCATTGCCAATTTGTTTTCCTAAAGGCTTTAGTTAACTGTTGTACAATGTGTTAAATCTGACTCTTTCAAGAGTCTAAAAATGATCTCCAATGCTGTGATTAATGCAATGTATAAATATAATTACTGTAAAATTATCATCTTTCAAAATTATTCCATCAATTATATGTATACACTGTTTACATTGTAAATTTTACTTAAAATGCCAATAAGAAAATATTCTTTTATCTCAACCTCCAGAGTATTGTCTGCTTCACTCTCCTTGGTATACAGTACTAAATATCCGTTTAGGAAAGAGTGTACAGTACATGAAGATATTTCATCAGCCAAAGCATTTGTAGAGAATTTCTATTAACACAAGGCAGTAAAGTTAAGAGTAGTTAAGTCACCAGTGAAATTCTGGCTGCAGTCATTCCGAGTAACTTCCCAATCTAAAATGACACTTGCAGACATTTATATTTAATTTAATAATGTAGTCTATTGGTAGTCTTGCAAGTACTGTAAACATTGTTTATAAATCACTGTCATTATTTCAAAGAAAACATTCTGGTATTTCACTTTGGCTGTAAAGTACTTATGCTGCCTAACCTTTGAGCTAAAATTTAAAAATCAGTAAAAGGACTGATTTAACTATTTAAGATACAAAAACTGGCAACAGGTCTCTGCAAGACCTGTCACCAGCTTTCAGTCAAGTTGTGCCGACTTCCTGAGACGTGATTTTGTTCAAGCCATCAACACTGCATGTGATCAAGCATTCCATTTCTCTCTGATCATGACTAGTGTTAACATTACTGGGGGTCAGCCTGTGTTGCCCTATGACCACCACACACATCTGCTCTGAAGGTCTGCAGGCCTCCTCAATGAGCTGGGAGGAGAGTTGCACAAGAGCAGAAACCATGTCCTAGATAAGTTGACATACTAATTACCACGTAGCTGCCCAGGGAGGAGAGGACTGTGTGATGTGTTCCTAACAGCTTAGGCTGCTCAACTGATCCATTAGTTGTTATATTACTTACAGCTCCTTGACAATTTTCTTGGGCTGTACCAACAATACTACCTTAGCTGGTAAGTCAGCTATACATTTTACGTATAAGTATTAACTTTGCGCAAATGTACAGGTAACAAATGATTTGACAAGAATAATATGCATGAACATTTTCCCCTCCCTCCATCCCTCTTCTACCCACTCCTTCATCTTCCCATCCCTTCCATTTCATCTCCCCCTTCATCTTGCATTAAGATGAGGAGAGGACAGGGGATGTAATATATCTTTGCATGTATACATTATCTATCACTGTAACCATCTTCCCTACTCACTATCACTATCCTGAATGAATACAGTTCATTTTTATCAAGTAAATCATGAAAATGCACAGGTAAGTGGCAGGAACAGTTAAATTTTACTTTAGACTTCACAAAAATTGGATAGGAGTTGGGCTAGATGCTGATATTTCTTAGTGTGGCATTAAACCCAACACCAACCAGACTATGTTCATCCTATACTCTAGTCCATTCATTCTTAAAAGTTGTGAAAGGATAGCCCCAAGCATCTGGTGTTCAACCATAAACAAATTCTCTTATACTTGGCCAATTTTGTTCATATTTTGCAAGTGCAGTTTTATACACAAGAGTTGTGTGAGAAAAATATACCTATGATATACAAACAGTTCACTTCAATTTGAGAGTCAAACAGATTCAATTTAGATACCTTTTATTCTTAGTCTCAAGGACATTGGACGAAGATGGATCAGTGCTTTGTGGATTGTATGGAGGAGCGGCGATTTTTTCTAGTTTTCTAAGTATATTCCAACCTCGAACAGCTTCATTAAAATCAACATTCTCCTGAAATGAAGATACCACAAAGTAAAATATTTTCCATGAATAGATTCACAAAATGAATGATATTATCTACCCACCATGAGAAACACCAAACCTTAAATACCATACCAGGTTACATGATTCACAGGTTTCTTCCTAAAAGTTATTACCAGAATCTGGCCCCCCTTCTATAAGAGACAATATAGAGTTTAGCCTCTTACCGAGTTATTTCAATAGAAGCAACTCCAGGGGAGTTGGGGAGTATTAGATCTCAACTGGTAGTTTGAAGTTTCTAAAGTGGGGAGCTCAGGGAGCTACCATGGACTACCTCCCAGAAAACAAACAAAAACAGAAAAAGACCTGGCAACAAGCATGTTAAATGGTATTACTTGCCAAACACTACCACGTTAAATAAATAGCTCGGTAGATAGAGCTTCAGCCTCACATGAGTGGGGTCCGTGGTTTGTCTCCCCTACAGCCCAGGTGAATGGACTACCATGTTGCTTCATTTCAAACATTTGGCCATGTCCTAGGCATCACGACAAGCTAGGTGGTTGACAGGCACCATTTCTGAACAACAATTTGCCTAATACAGTACTGTACTGACTTCACAGATGTACAACATCCTAAATATTACATATACATGTACAGAACTTTGATTAATAATTTAATGTTTAGAGACTTTTCATAGTACTGTATCAGGTTTATTTTAGAAGTAATAGCCAATATTAATTATTTGCTTTCATACTGCATTCTAATTAATATTTATTAATAAATAAAATATTAATTTTTGCTGCCGCAGGCCACAGCACTGCCCCCCTTCCCCCATGCTGCCACAGGCCACAGCACTGGGCCCCCCCCCTTCCCCCATGCTGCCACAGGCCACAGCACTGGCCCCCCCCCCTTCCCCCATGCTGCCACAGGCCACAGCACTGGCCCCCCCCTTCCCCCCGTGCTGCCGCAGGCCACAGCACTGCCCCCATGCTGTAATAAAAGCACCTACTTGGAAGACTGCAGAACCAGTGGACCAGCGGTAGTCTATGTCTTCAGCCAAATAGCTGGTAAGGGAGTAAATATTGTAGTGGCCAATGCCAGCTCTTTTGGCTGCCAAACCTGTCGTGTACACATCCTCCAAGAACAAGAATCTGGAAAACCACGAGATCATGTAACATATGACCAAAAAAAATCATGTGCATTTGTTTCAACAACATTTATCAGTTGCACGACTTAAAAAGAAATCACTACTGCATTGGAAACAAAGTTATGTTTCAATAATATCCAAAAGATAATTTAATAATATCTTCATTGAAGATATTTTATTCTCTAGAATAATCGGGGATTGCCGAAGAGCTGAATATCATCTTCCTTCAACTGGACAAGTCATGTACAGTTTATCCATTAACACATCTCTAGTTGAAAAACAATTGGAGAGCCCTACATATATTTTCTTGAAATATGGTAGAGCAATATGCAACAATTAGTCATATGATTAACTTAATTTAATCTTACTCAAACCCATTAAGGTATTAATGATCCAAGCATATTTCTATATTAATATAAATAAGACTATTAAAGTTAACAATTTTGTTTACACATTTGCTATATCATGTAAGCACTTATTATGCATGTACTATGTAAGGCCTTCAAGCTGCATTCTGGCAGGACGACATGCATGTACAGGTGCCACTGCAGGTGTCATGCAAGGTGTCTGGAAGTTACTGAAGACAATATCCATCCTGCTAGGACAAACCAGTACAGTAAGACTTGTTTACAAGTATAAAATCCCTTGATGAATCATGGTAACTTTGCTATTGCTCACCATTGTTATTTTTGCTCGTCTTAGCATCCCAATTGGTATTTAGTACCTTTTTTCCAATATCCTGCAACACAGATAGTGCTTAATAAGTCTTCCTGGCTTGGTGCCTTTTTACTTTTATAATTACAGTACTGTACTTATTTACAAGCATAAAAACTTAGGGCATCCAATGCCCATTATGTGCTTTTTGTAATCTTTCCCATTACCACTTACAGAATGGGTATGGGGTGCATAATTTAAAAAAAAAATCTGCGTCACTCTCCCGACTGCTAATATTAACAGCCACTGTTAACCCATGCTAACTACACTTTACCACCACTAGGTGGCAGCAGTTGCAGTGACCCAAATGTCTGGCCATCTAAGGACACCCTTCAGTATTTTGACAGTTTTTCCAGCTGGTGTCTCAATTTGTCTAGTACAATACTACATCAAGAGGTGAACAGCCAGTGGCTTTCTTTCCCTATACAACCAACTGGAGATGTTGGCCCTCTGTGAAGTTGTTTGGGGTAGGGGGGGGACCCTGTGCTGGGCACCAGAACTCAAGGGTATTGAGCTGCATTTGATAGGTAGTCATGTTCCCTAACTTGACAACAGCAGACTTACCTTGTTCTGCTAATGGCATCAAGAAGGGTGGGGACGATGGCTATTGGTACTAAGTATGATGGGCCAGCTACATATGATGGATATTCATGGTCTGGATATATATCTACTGGCATCGCCCACTTGCCCCATCTCACAACTGGGTCACAGTGTCTTACGTTTCCCAAGATGTTGACAGGATGTGGGTTGTATCGTAAGTATGCCAGAAGGAATTCTCGAAGTGCTATTGGATTGAGGATAACATCGTCGTCTATTTTAAGTATGAATGGGGTGTTAGGACAGTGCCGAGTGGCCCAAGTGAGGAGTGCTGTGGTTTTGTAACTGAGGTTCACGTAGGAGTCGATGAAGTTTGCCTGTATCATATCATGATGTTGCTCCGATTCTTCTATCAACATAGCCTGTTGGAAGATACAGTAATATAAATTGAGTGAAAGACATTTCAATCTCTTTAATGCACTTCAACTATCGTATGTTAGGATGTGCAAAAATGTTTGGTTACATTTATCATAATAATTTTCAAACGTTTTAAAACATTTTTTTTTAATTATATGCCATGTTAGCTGAAATTATTATTTTTCCATGAATCTATGTTAGAAGATAGTTGACAGAATCAGGCAGTTTCAATCAGCTTACTGGTATTGCATTAAACTATATATAACTGCACGGCAATTTTTTCTGATTACACATGATATGAAGTAATACATGACATAATATTCTATCGCCCAGGATGCCACCCACCATTCAAAAAGGACAGAACACTAGCAGGTGGGGTGATACTGTATGTGAAAGAGCATCTGGGATGCAACCAGGTGAGAGCTGGTCGGCCGAGCGGACAGCACACTGGACTTATGATCCTGTGGTCCCGGGTTCGATCCCGGGCGCCGGCGAGAAACAATGGGCAGAGTTTCTTTCACCCTATGCCCCTGTTACCTAGCAGTAAAATAGGTACCTGGGTGTTAGTCAGCTATCACGGGCTGCTTTCTGGGGGTGGAGGCCTGGTCGAGGACCGGGCCGCGGGGACACTAAAGCCCCGAAATCATCTCAAGATAACCTCAAGATCTCAAGATAACCAATGAGGAACTGAACACCACGGTGCTCCTCAGTCAGTATGGTGCAACATACTAACTCAAGATTATAGCAAAATGACCGTGGGAGTATGCTACAGGGCTGACACAGCAGCGGCAGAGGAAATTACAGATCTGCATAATTGTGATTAATGCGGCGTCTGAAACCCCAAACCCTAATAATGAGGGGATATAAACCACGAGACCATAGATTGGATCAACCTAACATAAGAAGCAGAAGGGTGAACAAATTTGTGTGACCTCGCGCAGGACTCCAGCCTCATACCGCATGTGGTAGAGCCCACACGTGGTAACAGTAAACTGGATCTTGTGCTAACAGAAGAGTTGTTAGCACACAATCGACTTGAGAATGGTCCAGAACGAACCGAAACGTCGTCATCACCTAGTGTGATGACATCACACCTTCACCTAGTGTGTGGTCTGGTCAACAGAAGAGTATGATTCATCAAATTCATGTGAGGGGAAACGCTCTCCCCCTCATGCAACCATCATATTTTAAGATGAACTACGAATATAGAAACCCACAAAGGTTAAATATGATGAATTTCTAGATTGCCAGCGAGGTGACTATCAATGAAAGAGAGGAACTGCGAACTATCTCCAGGAGGAAGCTGATGGGCGAACATGGCGCGGAAGCATCATGGCAAAATTTCAAGAAGGTCATCATGAAACTCGTTCAAAAATGTGCGCCGAAAAGAAAACCAAACAAGAAAGGGAACTAGATGGACGACACAGGTCGTGAAACAAGCGTTGGTAACCCAAGAGGAACCTCTGTAAAACTTATTAAATCCACGATGGACATCATTGATTATGAGTTATAACAAATGGGCACTAAACTCTGCCACTCAAAATCAGATCAGCCAAAAGAACTTACGAAAGAATCCAAAACAAAGATCCAAAATCGTTCTATGACTAAGATGTTTTAACAGTCAATGCAGTTTTAACGGGTTTAACGAGAAATGCCTCTGCATAACAAAGGCAGACAACAGGTATAATTGTTGTTGGGATCTTTTTATGTTACTGTTTTCGTTATTGGGACCTTTTACCGTTTTGTGATCTGTTACTTTGTCCTTTGTGTTATGACGGAGCCGAGTAGGTACCTCGTCTCCGTCAGTTTAGGTATTTTTCCTACGGGACGAGACTGGTAATGGGCGAGGTCCAGGACTGCACCTGCACGAATTTATAATTTTCATGAATAAGTTCACCAAATGCCGATTAGGGTGGTATAGGAACTATGCAGTTGGGTGCTTCGATAATCGTTTTTTTCGGAATTAGCAATCAAAATGTGTCAGTCACCTGTTTACATTATGCATGAAATCCCACCCCTTAACCACATTTCTACTTCCACAACGAAACCATCAACACAGCTCTCTTAAGTAACTCACCTGCTGCTTTGGATCCTGTACTTCTCCCACCACAAACAAGGGTTTGACTCCCGTGTCCTGGGCCAGGGATGGGTGGCCCCAGGTGCGCCTGACGAACTGACGCCGGAGCCGGTTCTCGACCGCCGTCACCACCGCCGCCAGCACCAGCGGCGGCTCCCGGCAAGCCTCCTCCGACATCTTGAACCTCACTTGGCCTGGGTAAGGGTTTACTACCTCGCCCTCAACACGAGACTGCGTCTACAAGAGTAAAGGGCACTCAAAGGCCGTCAGAGGTGCTCAAAATGGAATGTTTCAGTAGCTTCGCTCTCAGTGGATTAGCTAATACGCATTTGAGTACATACATTGTTTGTATCAAGACTTTATAAGGATATCAAACGGTAACTGTTGGTAAACTCACAATGTAGTGCGGGTTCCAGGACGCCAAGACCTGGCGCCAGCCTCCATGCGCCTCGGGGCGGCGGACGACACGACCAGTACGGGAGGTGTGGCCACGGCCGCCTCTTGGTAGCCGCAAGAGACCATTGTACAAGACCATCACATACCAAATGGCCAGTAATGCAACAACCAAGAATTTTCTCGGAGAACTCTTCAGAAAACCAGCCATTCACCTGTGAGGATGAGGGAGCCGAGTCATAATTGTTTTTTCATATAAATTGTTACAAAATATTCAATAGGATATATACAAATCTTGGCGTGTAATTTATGCATTCTTTCTGAAGTTATTAACGCGCGTAGCAATTCGTTACTATTACTTACGAGTTTGGTTTGCCTAAATTACATACTTTATTACATGTAAAATACACAGGAAACCTGTGATCATGTCTTCACACAACAAAATCTCTATCTAGTGTGGACTGATAATGGTGTCTGGACCTCCATAACTCTTGCAGAGTTTGTTGGGCGCCATGACCACCAGTTGATAACTTATAGTTAATATAAACAACTAAATTGTCTGGCGGAGAAGCAATACAAGTTACGAACCTTACATATTTGCCACACGCACGCCACACGCACGCACACACACACACACACACACACACACACACACACACACACACACACACACACACACACACACACACACACACACACGTCTAAAGATTCTGCCAGATCATAAAACCAAGCAATTGATCACCACTTATTATAACGCGACATAAAAACAGTTCGCTAGAAGACGCTGCTGTTTGCTCTTAGCTGTTGATGGTTTGTGTTCACGGCCGGTCCCCAGTCACGTGGAGGCAACCCTGGGTGTTGTAGGGTGTTGTCCCTAACACTCTTCCCTCCTCCCGCCTCCCGGTCGCTTCGTCTATTTATTTTATTTTATATACAAACACGAGTATTTACATTCTTGCACAGCCACTAGCACGCGTAGCGTTTCGGGCAAATCCTTAATTCTATGTTCCCCGGAATACGACCCGCCAAATTGTTTCTGGTACCCATTTTACTGTTTGGTAAACAGAGGCTACAGTTAAGGATTGGCGCCCGGTCAATCCTCCCCGGCCAGGATACGAACCCAAGACAAAACGCTCGCGAAACGCCAGGCAAGTCTTATCTTAGAGCTCACCCCGATTGAGCACCTCGACTGAGCTCTCAGAGTGAGCACCGTGCAAGGAAGAAATTTGGTGGAGGGAGCACCCACGCTCGCGCTAAAAGTTTGGGAACGTATAGCAGAAGGTGGTAATGGAGTGTTCAGTAATCAGTAGGTTTACTCGACACTGTCATCGACTGAAAACAAATTATATATATTATATATAATGTGTATAAATAATAACAGAAAGAGAGAGAGAGAGAGAGAGAGAGAGAGAGCGCGGAAGGGGGGGAGGGGGGGCTAGATGGAAAGAGTTGTCAAATGACAGTCCAAGAGCGATCTCTCAATGGAAATCAAAAGCAAGAAAACTTTCATCATGAAGAGTTGAATTCAAAGTCTGGTGGTCTCTGGCTTACACCTTTTATGCAGTTAATATTATAACTCATTATGTAAACAAAATTAAAAAAACTACACAAAAGGGGGGGGGGGGAGGATGAAGGAGATGGGAATACTGAAAAGAATATGTGAAAGCCTACTATATTCTCTTCCCCCCCCCCATCACTTCCCCTCCCTGTGTCGTACATTCTCCTCTCAAAGGCCTCCTGTCTCTTTTATATTATATATATATATATATATATATATATATATATATATATATATATATATATATATATATATATATATATATATATATGTCGTACCTAATAGCCAGAACGCACTTCTCAGCCTACTATTCAAGGCCCGATTTGCCTAATAAGCCAAGTTTTCATGAATTAATGTTTTTTCGTCTACCTAACCTCACCTAGCTTTTTTTGGCTACCTAACCTAACCTTACCTATAAATATAGGTTAGGTTAGGTTAGGTAGGGTTGGTTAGGTTCGGTCATATATCTACGTTAATTTTAACTCCAATAAAAAAAAATTGACCTCATACATAATGAAATGGGTAGCTTTATCATTTCATAAGAAAAAAATTAGAAAAAATATATTAATTCAGGAAAACTTGGCTTATAAGGCAAATCGGGCCTTGAATAGTAGGCCAAAAAGTGAGTTCTGGCTACTAGGTACGACATATATATATATATATATATATATATATATATATATATATATATATATATATATATATATATATATATATATATATATATATATATATATATAAAAATATACACCCATTATAAAATATATATATATATACACAACATTCATACAACAAAAATTGATCTTCAGTGTGCAGAACGACAGTGAAAATTGAAAAGCTAACAACTAAAGCGCTTTCAGTTTATTTATTTATATACAAGAATGTACATTGGGGGGCTAACAGAGAACATAGAAATTAAGTTGAATTTACATTCTTGTAAAGCCCACTAGCACGCATAGCGTTTCCGGCAAAACGTCCGGCTCCAAGCGTTTATCAGTAGCTGAACTGACCGGTTCAACCTACTGATGAGTATGTACAGTATATCTATGTTCTACTACACCTGTCCCCCGACAAAAAGATCTATTATAAAACCCTTTTCAAAAGGTCAAAACCCTTCCCCCCCCCCCGAAGTGGCAAGGGGAGTGAATGGGGACAAAAAATTACATACTGCTAGGCTACGGCTAGTAAGGGTAGGTTTGGTAAAGGTAGCGTCCGGTTAGGTAAAGTAAATTAACCTGGTCGACGCAGGTTCGAATCCTCGTCACAGCCCTTGTGGATTTGTTCACATTGAAATTGAAATAAGTTTATCGAGTTAAAATACATACAAAGGCGTGAGTTAACTCAAGCTATTCTCACCCCGTTCAGTACATCGTGTTAATACATACATAGACACACATCACAAGCAATAAACGTATTACGGAACATTCTGAGAGATAAACACACACATTTCCTTGTTCATATTGTCTATTCTTAACTCTGAGTATGTCTCCACTCCCCAGTACTGTGTATATTGGGGGTACTCTTAACCCCTAAAGTGCAATGACCGGAGGAGTGCTGTGTATTCAGCCCTCAAAAGCCTGACGCCAGATAAACCGTCCGTGGCTCCCTGCATGACGCCATTACTAAACACATACTTTATCACCTGTTCCGTCCAAGCTTTAAAATGCGTCGCTTGTTATTGATTGTAGTTAATAAGGCCGCCAAACTGACCCGTTAAACCGATTGTTTTACATTACTCACGAGTACTCGCTGGCTTGGGAAGTGCATTAGTCAATTCTTTCCCAGTCTCGGCTGCCACACACGTCCACGGAAATTAAATGATACAATTATTTTGAAAAAGTTCTGCGAGATTTCACCACTCAACAAAGTAAAATTTATATATTTAATTTGTATATATTGCAGTATACATTGTGTATATCTTGAGATTATCTTGAGATGATTTCGGGGCTTTAGTGTCCCCGCGGCCCGGTCTTCGACCAGGCCTCCACCCCCATGAAGCAGCCCGTGACAGCTGACTAACACCCAGGTACCTATTTACTGCTAGGTAACAGGGGCATCAGGGGAGAAAAACATTTTACCCATTTGTCTCCGCCTCCACCGGGGATCGAACCCGGAACCTCAGGACTACGAATCCGAAGCGCTGTCCACCCAGCTGTCAGGCGCCCTAACAGGTGATCAATGACGCATTATAAAAGAGGTCCATAAGCCCAAAAGTCGAAATTTCAGCTCCGCTCCTGTGCCAGGTAAGTCCATCACGGGCTCACCATAGCCCGTGCTACTTGGCACTTTTAGTTCCCACTAGCTGAATCTTAAACAACAACAACCCCTAAAGTCGGCATTACGGGCTCACCATAGCCCGTGCTACATGGACACTTCGTTCTGAGCAGCTAAATCTAAAACAACAAACAGCCCTAAATTCGCATTATTTGTCCTGAATGGTGGTGGTGGTGGTGGTGGTGGTGGGGGGGGGGGGGGGGTCGTATCGTGTGTGCTAATAGGTGGTGAATACTTCCGAGTGGTGTGTATGAGTGAGGAAAGTGGTGGTGACGTTAGGTGCCGGTCTGTCACATGTCTGGCAGGGGTCTATCACATGTCTGACAGGGGTCTATCACATTTTCCGATATTGCTTAATGGCCGCTGTGTTTGCCTTGTGGAGAAACTTTGTCAATGAATGTTCAAAGCCACTCCCGGTGATTTATTTTGTATTCGCTGTAGTTTTGTATGGTAAAGCGGGTTTTTGGGGGGTAGGGTGGGTGTGTGTACTCCTAGTTGTGCAAGCGGGGGAGGGGGGGGGGTTGAGTTTGGGCTCTTTGGCCCCGCCTCTCAACTGTCAATCAACTGGTGTACAGATTCTGGAACCTACTGGGTTCTATTAAATATACACTTGAAACTGTGTATGGAGTTAGCCTCCACCACATCACTGTCCAATGCATTCCATCTCTTAACTACTCTGCCAATTAAAAAATGATTTGTAATGTCTCTGTGGCTCATTTGGGTACTAAGTTTCCACCCGTGAGTGAGTGAGTGAGTATTCACTATTTGCGTTTACTTTGTGTCTGCAGGATCGAGCTATTGGCGCTTAGACCTCGCCTTTCTAACCAACCTATTTTTCCCTATTATATCTACTACATATAGTTCTCACACAAAAAAATATATATATAAAAATAGTAGTAACAGTTGATTGCCAGTTGAAAGGCGGGCCGAAAGAGCAAAGCTCAACCCCCGCAAGCACAACTAGGTGAATACAAAGGAAGCAGCCCGTAGCAGCCGTCTTAACTCGCAAGTATCCGTTTACTGCTAGATGAACAGGTGCATCAGGGTGAAAAACTGTACCCATATGTTTCCGCATCCGCCGGGGATCGAACCCGGGCCATTAGGACTACGACTCCCGAGCGCTGCTCACTCTGCCGCGAGGACCCCCTCGCGTTGATGTGTGACTGATCAGACTCCTGACAAATTTCATACTAAACCAATTAACGTAAATTACCTTTCAAAGTCAATACCTTGCGTGGCACTGGCCCGCACGCAATACCTCTAGCAGTCAGGGTGCCGAGTCCCCGGCGACACTCGGGTAAGTAATTTCTACTTCTTTGATTTGACAGAACTTAGATTTTTCTAAGTAGTCTCTACACAAGTACACACAAAGCTAGGCAACAAGTATAAACACAATTCAAATACACAGTCTTAAGTAATTATCGAAGCCACCATCGACTCTTTCGGACTCTTTGTTTACCGAGGTTGTCTCGTTGCAGGAGCCCCTGGGGGGCAGTTCGTTGTTGCCTTTAACCTCGTTCTGACAGTTCCTGCGACGGCGCTAGAACCAATCGTATTGGCGTTTGCCTTTCCATTGGAGACTTTTGGCGCCGTGGAGAGGGGGGGGGGGACCTGCTGCATGGGTAACAGCTTCTCTCTGCGTATCAACCTGCCCTGGCTTTGCGCCCTGGAGAGCTCAACCAACCAACTCAGACCAACAACCAGAGCACAACTCTATAGTTTCCCCGAGACTGATGGATGCCTACTACTAACTACGTTGCAGCAGCTCATGCTGCAACCCGTCCTCGACTCAAGTCCATTACATCCAGCGGTCGACCCCACAGACGCATTCATAAATTTTAATATGCTGTTCATTCAAAACGGGAATTTTCTCAAGTATAAATTAATATTATAATATATTAGCATATTGTGCATATATAGGCATAGGTTAGGTTAGGTGTTTAGGTTCTGTTGGCGATTATTTGTATTTGTAGTACGTGGGTGAAGCATTTATAGCGTTGTGATTCTAACAAAATTCGTCAGTGAAACACTTGTTCCGGATATGTTCGAACGTCAGCAGTTGTGAGTCGTGTGTAACAACCCGTCCTCCAAACAAAGATCCAAAAGTGATTCCATGCACCCGCCAAACCCCCTGTTTATGAATGAAAAGCGGTTTACACACGACTCACAACTGCTGACGTTCGAACATATCCGGAACAAGTGTTTCACTGACGAATTTTGTTCGAACCACAACGCTGTAAATGCTTCACCCACGTACTACAAATACAAATAATCGCCAACAGAACCTAAACATCTAACCTAACCAGTGCCTAAATATGCACAATATGCTAATATAGAATAATATTAATTTATATTCGAGAAAATTCTGAATGAACAGCTTGTTCCAATTGATGAATGCGACTTTGGGGTCGACCGCTGGATGGAATAACCTTGGCGTGAGGACAGGCGGCATTGCAGTTAATTAGTTTGAAAACTATTTGAACTATTTTCTCGAGATATTTACAAAACGACACAATGTTCAATTTTGTTTTAATATTCGTGTGTGAGCGTTACAGTCAAAGCCACCAACACACTCCACGCTCCTCACGAATATTAATAAATGAAGAGTAAACATTGTAGCGATATGAGAGCAAACAATTAACCTCCACTTTAAAACAAGATACTTAAAATCGGCGATTTATGAATACACTAACAATTTACAGTCATGTGAAAGCTTAAATGACCTCAATTAACTTTTAAACTTGGTCGTTAAAATTAGCGGAGGCACAAGTCAACATGCAGGCAGCTAGCTGCTTGCTGCCCAAATTTAAGTAGTAACTACCTCACGTAACTACCAGTGTTAAGTGGCGATAATGAGACGTGAAATACTATTAATGGACAAGTAGATTTTTAGATAGTACGGTGCGAGGTAGGGGTTGTTGTTGTTGTTGTTTTAGATTTAGTTACTCAGAACGAAGTGTCCATGTAGCACGGGCTATGGTGAGCCCGTAAGAGGTAGGGGAACCTCGATATAATTATATATAAACCTCGATATGGCAGGGAACCTAGATATAAGCCTAAGTATAAATATACACTGGCTGCCTGTCCCCTAGAACAATGAATTTGCCTACCTTGTGGTGACTATTGGGGAGGATCAGAACACCTTAGAGTATGTTATCCTGAGAGTCAAGAGCCACTCAAAGTTATTCTGAGAATGAATAGGATCCCAATGGGAAGATAAGAACCTGCTCCTTAAGTGATCTTTGTCACAACAATCACGTCGATGACATTTGGCTCAATAAGATCTCCCTCTCTCTACAAAGGGGTAGAGCCCCCAGGACTGTGTCAACCCCTTGCCAGACACGCCAGTTATGATGCACGAGTTAAGACGTCACTACTATAGACACCGGAAAGGGTGGAGAAGGACGCCCATTCTTGGCCATATCCTCCTGGTTTCTGAAGTGTCCTCCAGGAGAGTATCTAAGCTACCAGCCCAAGTACTATCATTCAAAACCCAGCTCTTGTATACCCACTGGGTAGATATTCGAAGAAAGACAGCTGTCCCCCCTCCAAATGCGCCCAGAGGAGGGCGCAGAGCCCCCCTCCCCCCCTATAAAAATATAAATCAACATCTATTGGCCCATGCAAGGGCCCAGCTGTTTACATCCACCTTAACTCGTGTCTATCACAATACCCGTCGCCTGAAGCACTCAAGTGATCCCACGTCAAATTGTTACCAGGCAGGTCGAGGAGGGAGAGCGGGACCAGACTCAATCCCCAGACAACCCGCTGGCCACGCCACGGTGTCGTGTTTGCTTCACCAGTATTTGCCCGAGTGCAAGAACAAAAAAAAAATAAAAAAAAAGAGTTAACGAGAGTGATTTGGTAAGTCACAGTAGAATTAAAATGTCTGTAAAAACACTACACCTGGAGTGCTAATGGAGGGGGTGGTTCCGGTGGGGGGAGGGGGGGATAAACACTGGGGGGTGGGGGGGGTCGTTGGGGATAAACACTGGGGGGAGGAGGGGGGGGTCGTTGGGGATAAACACTGGGGGGGAGGGGGGGGTCGTTGGGGATAAACACTGGGGGGAGGGGGGGTCGTTGGGGATAAACACTGGGGGGAGGGGGGGTGTCGTTGGGGATAAACACTGGGGGGAGGGGGGTCGTTGGGGATAAACACTGGGGGGGAGGGGGGGGTCGTTGGGGATAAACACTGGGGGGGAGGGGGGGTCGTTGGGGATAAACACTGGGGGGGAGGGGGGGGTCGTTGGGGATAAACACTGGGGGGAGGGGGGGGTCGTTGGGGATAAACACTGGGGGGAGGGGGGGTGTCGTTGGGGATAAACACTGGGGGGAGGGGGGTCGTTGGGGATAAACACTGGGGGGAGGGGGGTCGTTGGGGATAAACACTGGGGGGAGGGGGGGTCGTTGGGGATAAACACTGGGGGGGAGGGGGGTCGTTGGGGATAAACACTGGGGGGAGGGGGGTCGTTGGGGATAAACACTGGGGGGGGTAGGGGGGGTCGTTGGGGATAAACACTGGGGGGAGGGGGGGGGTCGTTGGGGATAAACACTGGGGGAGGGGGGGTCGTTGGGGATAAACACTGGGGGGGGGGGGGGGGGGTCGTTGGGGATAAACACTGGGGGGAGGGGGGTCGTTGGGGATAAACACTGGGGGGGAGGGGGGGTCGTTGGGGATAAACACTGGGGGGAGGGGGGGTCGTTGGGGATAAACACTGGGGGGGGGGAGGGGGGTGTCGTTGGGGATAAACACTGGGAGGAGGGGGGTCGTTGGGGATAAACACTGGGGGGAGGGGGGGGGTCGTTGGGGATAAACACTGGGGGGAGGGGGGTCGTTGGGGATAAACACTGGGGGGAGGGGGGGGGGTCGTTGGGGATAAACACTGGGGGGAGGGGGGGGGGTCGCTGGGGATAAACACTGGGGGGAGGGGGGGGTCGTTGGGGATAAACACTGGGGGAGGGGGGGTCGTTGGGGATAAACACTGGGGGGGAGGGGGGTCGTTGGGGATAAACACTGGGGGGAGGGGGGGTCGTTGGGGATAAACACTGGGGGGAGGGGGGGTCGTTGGGGATAAACACTGGGGGGGAGGGGGGGTCGTTGGGAATAAACACTGGGGGGGGAGGGGGGTCGTTGGGGATAAAACACTGGGGGGAGGAGGGGTCGTTGGGGATAAACACTGGGGGGGAGGGGGGGTCGTTGGGGATAAACACTGGGGGGAGGGGGGGGGGGTGTCGTTGGGGATAAACACTGGGGGGAGGGGGGGGGGTGTCGTTGGGGATAAACACTGGGGGGAGGGGGGGGGTGTCGTTGGGGATAAACACTGGGGGGAGGGGGGGGTGTCGTTGGGGATAAACACTGGGGGGAGGGGGGGTGTCGTTGGGGATAAACACTGGGGGGAGGGGGGGGTGTCGTTGGGGATAAACACTGGGGGGAGGGGGGGGTGTCGTTGGGGATAAACACTGGGGGGAGGGGGGGGTCGTTGGGGATAAACACTGGGGGGAGGGGGGGGGTGTCGTTGGGGATAAACACTGGGGGGAGGGGGGGGGGGGTCGTTGGGGATAAACACTGGGGGGAGGGGGGGTGTCGTTGGGGATAAACACTGGGGGGAGGGGGGGGGGTGTCGTTGGGGATAAACACTGGGGGGAGGGGGGGGGTGTCGTTGGGGATAAACACTGGGGGGAGGGGGGGGGGGGGTGTCGTTGGGGATAAACACTGGGGGGAGGGGGGGTCGTTGGGGATAAACACTGGGGGGAGGGGGGGGTGTCGTTGGGGATAAACACTGGGGGGAGGGGGGGGGGTCGTTGGTATAAACAATTGGGGGGAGGAAGTTGTAGAAGAACACACACTTCCCCTGGGATTGTGGGGAAGCCTCCCCACCCACCTCCCTAAGGTTTGTGGAGAAAACACATCAAATAATGACAGTTCAAGTCAAGTCACTCACATCAGCGCTGTGGACGGGGCGCCACACACCTCCACACACCACGAGAGCGTCAGCAACACTGACAATGACCCTCCCGTGGACCCTAATGGTGGTGGTGGTGGTGGTGGGGGAGAACCCTCCGGCGGAAGGAGGTGGTGTTGGTGTTGGTGGTGGTGGGGGGTGTTGTTAATGGCAGTGGTGGTGGGAGTGGTGGTGATGCAGGTTAGAAAGGAATGGTTAATCAATGCTGGTATGGTAACTCCGTACCAAACACCGATACTTTTCTCGCGCCTTTGAACTTATATTTACTAGAGAAACAAGAGGGTCACGTGATTGGGTGTTAAGACATGCGCCCCTTGTCAAGAAGGGCTCTGGGCGCCCGCAGCACATGTCCAACCTTGAGGTTACCTTGAGGTGCTTCCGGGGCTTAGCGTCCCCGCGGCCCGGTCGTCGATCAAGCTGCTTCTGTCGTTTTTCGCGAGGAAATATTGCCTATATGAATATTAATGATATAAAATACTAACATAATTATCTGTTCCAATGGTTAAAATATTCGACTGGCGCCTTGTGGTACATCAGCAACTTGACTGATGGTCGTTCTTCACGCTAGTGGCGAAGTTGTTTATACAAGAGGGTAAACAATAGAGGTCCCAGGACCGCCCTGAGGCACTCCACTTACCATTAAGGACACCAGCAGGATGTATGTGTACTCAGAACAACAACAACAACAGGATGTATGTGTACTCAGAACAACACCAACAGGATGTATGTGTGCTCAGAACACCAACAACAGGATGTATGTGTGCTCAGAACACCAACAACAGGATGTATGTGTGCTCAGAACAACAACAACAACAGGATGTATGTGTGCTCAGAACACCAACAACAGGATGTATGTGTGCTCAGAACACCAACAACAGGATGTATGTGTGCTCAGAACAACAACAACAACAGGATGTATGTGTGCTCAGAACACCAACAACAGGATGTATGTGTGCTCAGAACAACACCAACAACAGGATGTATGTGTGCTCAGAACAACAACAACAGGATGTATGTGTGCTCAGAACAACAACAACAGGATGTATGTGTGCTCAGAACAACGACAACAGGATGTATGTGTGCTCAGAACAACGACAACAGGATGTATGTGTGCTCAGAACACCAACAACAGGATGTATGTGTGCTCAGAACACCAACAACAGGATGTATGTGTGCTCAGAACACCAACAACAGGATGTATGTGTGCTCAGAACACCAACAACAGGATGTATGTGTGCTCAGAACAACACCAGCAGGATGTATGTGTGCTCAGAACACCAACAACAGGATGTATGTGTGCTCAGAACACCAACAACAGGATGTATGTGTGCTCAGAACAACACCAACAGGATGTATGTGTGCTCAGAACACCAACAACAGGATGTATGTGTGCTCAGAACACCAACAACAGGATGTATGTGTGCTCAGAACAACACCAACAGGATGTATGTGTGCTCAGAACACCAACAACAGGATGTATGTGTGCTCAGAACAACACCAGCAGGATGTATGTGTGCTCAGAACACCAACAACAGGATGTATGTGTGCTCAGAACACCAACAACAGGATGTATGTGTGCTCAGAACAACAACAACAGGATGTATGTGTGCTCAGAACACCAACAACAGGATGTATGTGTGCTCAGAACAACAACAACATGATGTATGTGTGCTCAGAACACCAACAACAGGATGTATGTGTGCTCAGAACACCAACAACAGGATGTATGTGTGCTCAGAACAACAACAACAGGATGTATGTGTGCTCAGAACACCAACAACAGGATGTATGTGTGCTCAGAACAACAACAACATGATGTATGTGTGCTCAGAACACCAACAACAGGATGTATGTGTGCTCAGAACAACACCAACAGGATGTATGTGTGCTCAGAACAACGACAACAGGATGTATGTAATTGTGTTGGTCTGTAATTGTTTATGTCATAGGGGGGTAGAAATAGCCTAAGCTACTCTATCCCTTTGAGATGTATTTATTGCTTATCTCAATAAACATACTTGAACTTGAACTTGTTTATGTCAGGTGTCTCGCCTCCTTTATGAATTGGCGAACTTGCTTTTTCAAGGATATCAGGAAAAGTATGACACTCTAGAGATTTGTAGAATAGCAGAGCTGTGGGTAGTGCAAGAGCAGGGGCAGCACTCTTATATATCATAGATGGCATGTCATGATTGTTCCCAGCTTTGGTTTTAAGTGATTGAATTATGGATATAATGTCTGTCTGTCGGGCTGCCTGGTAAAAGCGGGGTAGAGAGTTATGATAAGTGCCTGTGAGATTTGTAGTAATATTTAAATCACCAGCCATACTAGATTACTAGGAAACGCATCAGTTACCTTCTTATGTGCTCCTAAATTTGGCTCTAGTATCAATCCAACACATGTAAGTGTGAGTTTTCAGTTGCATGTATGCCTGGGGACCATTCAGGCTTGTTCGCACATGTAATTTATGAATACAATAATAAATCTACATTAACCTAGTGTTGAGGCGTTACTCCATTAATACCTGCTCCACCTCAAGGTACTAAATAACGATACAGTACTCAGTCAACACACACACCATCGATTACTCTGACCGAAACGCTGTGCATGTTAGCGGCTTTGCAAGAATGTAAGAACACTAGTATTATGTACCCTCACAAACCCCAATGCACTTCCTGTATATAAATCAATCAATCAATAAATCTTAGCTCGATACTTTGTGGGAAGACGGAACGGAAGCCAGTCCCGCTGGGCTGACTATTTCCACCTCGGGGTTAACAACATCTTCCCCCCCCCCTTCACTATTCCTATTTCGGTGTGAAGGGATAGTTAGGAGGAGGGTTTTGAGATAATATCCAATGGCTGTTACCGAAATTGGTCCGGGTAACATTGTTACCTGCCGCCAACCTCACCGTCTGTGTTGTTGTTGTCGTCGCGTGTGGCAGGAGAGCGAGCGGGCGGTGTCTGCCCGGTATCCTTTCATCAGACTGCCACTAGGAATTCATTTCTAAATTCGTAGTATTTAGAAATGCTTTTTACAAATGATTTTGTGTATAATTCAAGATTATAATAAGAGTAAGGAGATATAGTAGGTATCAGTGTACTATTTTGTTGACACTGACAATAGGGTTTGGTTAAGCCCAAAACTAATTTTGGGCTTAAGCCAAACCATTTTCACGAGGTTGGGCTTGCTGTGAATAGCCAGCAGTTATCCTGATCCCTGAACATTGCACAGGACCAGAGTAAAGTCTCAGTTTGTATAATTAATAGTTGTCGGGGACAGGCAACATGTGAATATATATATGTTTAAATGTAATTATAGGGGCTTGACGGCTGAGAGCAGAGCGCTCGGTGTTTATAGTCCTACGGGTCCAGGTTCCATTCCCGGCGGAGGCGGAAACAAATGGGCAGAATTTCTTTCACTCTGATTGGCCCCTGTTCACCTAGCAGTAAATAGGTACCTGGGTGTTAGACAGCTGCTACGGGCTGCTTCCTGGGGATGTGTGTGTGTGAAAATCAGGATTAAGTACTTGCCCGAAACGCTATGCGTGCTAATGGCTGTACAAGAATGTAAGAACTCTTGTATAAATAAATAAAAAATAATAATAAATAAATAAACAATAATTTTCGTGTGTATATCCAAGTCCTTCCAAGGTGGAACTACTGATCCTCTCCAGGATGCAACCCTACAACAGTTGCCTAACTCTCGGGTATCCATTGACTGTTAAGTGAACAGAGGCAATAGGTGAAAGGAAATGTGCTCAGCAATTTCTGTACTGCTCGGGAGTCGAACCCAGTATTCTCGATTGTTAGTCGAGAACGAAGGCAGATCCTGTAAAGAACAGGTAATTGGTTTGTAGTTTTTTAGTTTATTACTTACAAAATAACATTTATATATTTAACTTCTAACTATTTACATGACCTGTGCTGGTAAAGGTGTTCAAAATTATAATACAGTACTGCGGGGTATCGAAAACTTTGCAATTGCGTGACAAGGGGATAATTCTTAAGTTTATCCTGACAAACATTTTCTATTAAATCAAACTGTTCATAGAAAATGAAATATTAAATGACTAACTTAAGTAAATTGCAATCCCAAGCGTTGCAATGTTTGAAGTATTTAGGGTAATTGCTATATAAACATACTGGCTTAGCGTTTTCTTGTGAACGTTACTTACTTGTTTATCAATGATTAGAGTGGCCGTGTCGGGGATTAGACGCTGTGGGTTTGTGAGGGGTCTCACTATTTTGTCCAATGTACGTCATGCGGGTTTTGTCCGACCTTCATGCAGGTGCGTTCAATCCCCGACCGTCCACAAGTGGTTGGGCACCATTCCTTTCTACCCCGTCCCATCCCAAATCCTTATCCTGACCCCTTCCCAGTACTATATAGTCGTAATGGCTTGGCGCTTCTCTCCCGAAAGTTCCATTTCCTTAGGTTTTTAACATATAATAAGTCTGAGCCATCCCTAACCTTGTTGGTCACTGATTTATACGTGCAAATGGCCATGCAGAGGAAGGGAGAGGAAGGAGGGCCATGGGCCACAACTGTTCTTATAATAAGTTACAGTCATTTACAATTATTTACAGAGAGGAGCTCGTAAACTTAGCTAAGCTTATTTACAAGGTTTAGACCACGCGTACCAGAGCCACACACACACACACACACACACACACACACACACACACACACACACACACACACACACACACACACACACACACGGGGGGCAGCCGCACTTGCTGGTGGTGGAGAGTACATTAACTCTGGAGACTTTAATCACATATTATGATACATGTTATCATCCAGGGGCCGCGGCGTTCGATTCCCGATGGTCTCATGTAGTTGGGACATTGTTCCTCCCTCCCCCCCCACGTCCTTGTATCCCAGCTCCTTGTCCTCATATTCCAACTCCTTGTCCTCGTATCCCTTCCACAGCCCTATAATCATGCTCGCTTAGTTTTTTCTCTTCATATTCCCTTTCATATTCATCACTACAGCTTCACTATACTTTAGTGTATCAATGAAAATAGTAAATTTATAATTACACTTTTATATAAATTAAATGATGAATGCATTTGATCAGGCC